CGTGGCCACCGAGCCGGCGTGGCGGACCGCGCCCCGGACCGCATCGACTGTGACTTACCGTGATCCCTGCTGCTCAAACGCCTTTCACCGGGTACAGATATCCCCAACTTCAGGAGGGTGCGCTTTCGAAAGCAGAGGAAGGGGGGTTTGAACCGCCTTCAAAAAAGGCGCCCCCTCAGGAATGAACTCCTCAGAGTCACAGCGCCTTTAGCGCCAAACAAAAGCAAGAAAGGGATTGGCAATTAATTAATCCACACGCTCTTTACAGTTAGGGTGTCACATCAACTTCGAAATAATCGCATTCAGAAACAGAAAACTGAATGAAATACCGGCGAAAAATGACACAATCATATCAATGACTAAAGAAATAATATACCCAAAACATACATTTAAACACGATTTACATTCTTAGTGAGTGCCGCAATGAATGCTGGGAAGGTATACAGTTTCCTGCTCAGCATCCCGCGAGAGGTTGCTGTAATAGACGCAGACAATTCAAATGTAGAAATGCGTACAACTTCAAAAACTTCTTAAAACACATCGTGGAGATTGGAACAAGTGTCAGAATATCATTTAATTTTTTTCCAGAATATAATTAAATAATTAAAAAAGGAGCGAGAGCGGAAGCCATTTTATATTTCATTCATGTCGATGGAGGTGCTCCCACCATGCTTTGCGGCACTAAGAATGGCGTTTAAATGCATGTTTTGTGACAATTATTTTCTTGTTTTGGATACCGGTCGTTTTTTACTTCTTTTCATAATGAGCTCATATTTTTTTCAGTTTGCTTTCATAAATGTGTTTCATGTAGGACTGTACCGTGATTGTACCGGAAGTTCAGATTAAAGGCGTGAAATAGTGGGCGTGTCCGCCGGAGAGAGACACAGTCAAGCCTTCAGAGGTTGTGGCTTTGTTTTTTGTTTTTTTGTTTTTTGCGGAAGAGCTCCCGCCATGCTTTGCGGCCTTAAGAAACATGTTTAAAAAAATAATCAGGCTTGATGTTCAAGCAGTTAGCCTACTCGGTAATTGAGTATTCTTTTTAGCAAATAATTTTTTGACTTGTACTTGAGAGATTTTTTTAATGACTTTTTTTAACTTTTGTACAGTATTCCATCCATATGCTTGTATATTTTGAATCAAATGTTTTCATAAACAACAGAATTATTGATTGATGGGTATAGCAATGTGCTTGTTCAATAAAATTTCTCGAGTTAGCTTTCAGCTAACGTCGCTACCTTCTACTGTTCATTCCACAAGACTTGGCAGCTATGCTTTGACAAAATCATCACCATCTATCCGAAAATCACACTTACGTTTTTGCAAATCCTCGATCATAAGCAGACCGGTTGAGAAAGCAGACATCTTTGAAGTGGAGATAGCAGAGAACACTCGTCGATGATGGCGTGAAATTCATTCGCTTCGTGCGAATAAAAGATGTCCATTTACGTGCCCTGCGATCCTTCGGCCACTGGTACAACTTTTCTTTCGATTGCGAACAATACATCGCCACACACCGCCGTGGCATCTTACCAACAAGCAATGCGACAATGCTGTTCAATGGCGGACTTCCTCGCAGTTCACCAAGTGACGCCATTTCCGAAGGTTGCCGAAGAAAAGTATTTTCGTTGTCAAGGGCGTTGCTAAGGGTTAAACAAAGAATCTGGAAGTGTTGCGTTCAAAAAAATAATAATAATAATAGTGAATGATTTTTATTTCGTTCGCAGCTCCGAGTTTCCTGAACGCAACATACTCATAGCTGCTCTGCCATTTGCTTCCCGAGCATCATCCCTGCCTCCGATTGGCCAAGAGGGACCTCACTATCTATTTGTGTAGATACTGGAGCTTGATCCGTGGAAGATACTGTTGAGTGGAATGCATCTGATTCGCTGCTCAGAGTAAATTGCTTATGGCTCGACGGACAGTCAGATAAACAAACGTTTCTTGGAATGCTTTACTTGTTATCATGCTAAAAACCTTACGAGTTGAGTCGAGTTAGAGACAGTGAGATGGTGGAAAGAAAAGCCACCGGGTCCGGGAAGGATTTCTTATTGTTAGATTCAGAAGCAGCATCGTTGCATTGCTAAAATGGCTACAAAACGGACCTTTGGCTGTCAAGCAGCGAGGACAAGAAGCGCTCTGACGCTGGAAGAGAGGGGAAAAGGGATCAAAATGAAGAAAGACATCATCCAAGAAATTGATGTAAGTGAAAGTGAATGCTGATCATAAATTTTGCAATTTCTTTCCCTTTTTTTCTTTCTACACTGACTATATGAAGTGTCAAATAAGTCCACTATTGGAATAAAAATAAAGAGTACACATACGTTTGTGTGTGTGTGTTTACATGTGAGATGAAATTTGCTACAGTGAACTTGCTGCAAACGTGATTTCGTTGCAGAGGAGTTTCACCGTACCGTGATTGTACTGGAAGTTAGGATTGGAGGGGTGCGATGGCGCAGCGTGTCCACCGGAGGGAGACACATTCAGGCCTTCGGAGATTGTGTTTTTTTTTTTTTTTTTGTGGAATAGCTCCCACCATGCTTTGCGGCACTAAGAATCGTGTTGAAATGCGATTACTGTGTGTCAACGATGCGTGGAAAAAAATAGCCAGGATGTGGTGCTGAAAGCATGCTTTATTCGAACAAAAACAAGAAAACACTCAAGGAGGATTAGTGAAAGAAAATGCGGTTTCCCACAGCGGGTGGAGTCCACCGCGGCAGAGAACTCAACACTGACTACGAGCTACTACACACGCAAACGGGCTAATGAGCAATCCTCCAAGAGACGGCGCAGCTCCCGCGCAGCAGAGCCCACCGGGACTTTCTTTGGCGGCCGGGGGCCGTTCCCGAAGGACTGTCCTGCGCCAGAAGCGGCGCTCCAATGTCAAAGGGGAGAGAGCGCAGGCCACTCGCGCTCTCAGCCGGTCATCCAAGAAATCGGTGGTGCGACGCAGTCGGTCCGAGCGCGAGACCTCGTCGCGCCGCTTGCGTGAGGGTGACGCAGGCGGCGCTCGGGGTCTCGCTTCCGCAGGAAATAGTAAGAGCGACACGTGTCCAAATCAAATAGGTTTCTTTTTGCGTTAACTTCGACAGGGAGACGCTCTACCTGCCGAGGCCATCTTAGACGTCAACGTAGCGTTGAGGCGCAGCATTTTAGTTTCCGCGTTTAGCAGGGTATTCGTACCGCGCGGGACTTTCTCCTGTTCAAGCGCATTTGGTTTCCTTCCTTTGCTTCATATTCATCGTCATCAATAACAATCCATACATTCCCCATAACCGTCCGATCCGGCTATATACATTATGTACATGTCACTGCACAAGTGTCATCACATTGGAAAACAACTGGAGATACTTGAGTTTACCAAAGAATGAACGTCAAGTTAGGTACAAAAAAAAAGTTCTTATTTACAAGAAGATGAACCTGTGTCAATTCTTGTTGCTTATTCATGAAACAAACAATTACCAATGAGGGGAATTGGGGCGGGGGTGGGGTTAATACACCGACACGTTGTAATGGAATTTTTTTTTTTTTTCTTACATCGATCGGACCCGAACGTTGACAGTCGCGGAGGTGGAGCCGAGTTGGTTGAAGAGTCGCAGCACAGACGCTCCGCCGTCGCTCTCTCGCACTGCGGCGATCACCATTTGATTTGACTGACGGACGGGGGCGGGGATTTGGCGGTGGGGGACTTTGGCGAGACCGGCGACTTGACCCTCAGAGGGGACTTGAGCGGCTCGGGAGACCGCATCCTCTGTGGGGATTTGACAGGCTCGGGGGACCTGGCTTCAGGAGAGGCGACTCGAGGAGAGACCCCGACTTTTTGCTTGGACTCAGTCTTGCGAATGGTCAGTGTGAAATGGGCTGCTTCTTTGCCGCCGCTATTTTCCACGATCACGGCATAGTTTCCCTCATCGGACACCTGAACAGAAGAAATCTCCAAAGAGGAGCCGTACGGCGTCGAGACAATGCGGCGATAGCCGGAGGAACTCAGAGCCGCTCCCTCATGAAGCCACAATATGGAAGGCGACGGGTCGCCGTCCGCGTCGCAGACAAATCTGGCAAGACCTCCCTCCTCGACGCTCAGAGACTGAGGTTTGCTCAGGATCTTCGGAGGGACCGCGGGCTCGGCTTTTTCCCTTTCGACAACACTGACGCTCTTTGTCACCGTTTGGGCCACCGTTTCCTCGGCCGCCGCCGCCGAGATGCGGTACGCCTCCGTTTCGGCCGCGTCCGTAAGATGGGAGGATGGCGGCTCCTCATCCCGGCGGGTGGAAGAGTAGGCAGCATATCCTGTCGCTACGTCCAATGTGGCACTGTCTGAAGTCTCTCCTTTGATGTTCCTGCAGACCACAGAGTACGTTCCTGCGTCTTCAGTCACACAGTTGTTGATCTGGAGAGTCAGAAGTCCACTCGTATGGCTCATGCGGTGTTTGTCGCTGGGCTTGATCTCCTTTCCGTTGTGGAACCACTTGACTCCGGGCTCAGGTCTGGCCCGGACATTGAGGGTGAAGCTGGCGTCGGAGCCCGAGGCGACGCGATGAGATCGCAAGCGGATGCTAATGTGCGGTACGTGGTCGAGACTGAAAGGAGAATCCGACGTTCTCTCCACAGACCTCCGCTCTGACCTGAGAGTCTGCTTTCTCTCCTCGTACCTGGAGAGAAAATCGACTCTGGGCAAAGCGCTGTCTTTTTTAACCACCTTTTCTGAGGGAGCAGCTTTCATCTCCGGTTCGGAGAGCTTCTTCATGGGTTTCGGGACATATTCGGAAGCCAAAAACGTCAGGTGCTCCGATTCGATGCTCTCCGAAGCTCTTGTGACAGTGACGGCCGTTTCCTGCCTCAAACTTCGAGTCTTCTCCTCAAATTCCATGCGCTGGAGTTGACTCTTGTAGGAGGAGAGTCTCTGAGCGGTTGCGTGAGGTCGGAGCAACTCCTGATCCTCCCTCTCCTCGTAGACTCTTTGCTTCTCTCTGGGAGGTCTGTACGTGGCTTTGTCATGGCGCTGCCGCAGCTCGACAAAGCTGGGGCCGGCTTCGTATTTGGACGGAATTCGGTAAGAGTCGTACCTCGGCGAGGCTCGGGCCTCCTCCTCATCACTATATGCTCTTACGGGCGGCGAAGGGCGCAGCGCCGACAGCTCAAAGCGGACGGGGCTGAGGCTGGGCGGGGAAGCCGAGTACCCGAGTTCCAGCTCTCCCTCCAGGCGAAGCCTCTCCTCCTCGGTGGTCTTCATGGACAGATACTCCTTCACCGGCAGTAGCAGCTCCTCGTCCGACAGGTCGCCCAGGGACCTTCTCCTGATCCTGTGGTAGACATCCACCTCCGGGGAAGCCACGCGGCGCCTCGACGGCCTCACCGTCTCCAAATCGTCCCGAGTCACGGATGGGATGCGCCACCTTGGCTTGTACTGGTCCTTGATCCTGATCGGCACCTCGTAGAACTCCTCCCACCTGGAGAGACGAATACGCTTCATCCGCTTCTGCCTAATTTTCTCCAAGGGCTCCGGGAATTCATACTGATCCCTGAGCTTCTTGTACCACTTCATATCCGACAGTGGCTTGAAGTGTTTGATTTCCACGTCCTCTTCGAGCACAGCCTGGTTCACGACCCGTGGCGCGGGTACATCGTACGGCATGCGTAGTCTTTTCTCATCGGCCCGTTTCTTCCGCTCCTCTTTCTCTTTCTGTTTTTCGGCCTCCGACTTCTCGCCCTTTTTAGTGGGCACGGCGGGTTTGAACACGGTCGCCGCTTCCCTGACAGCCTGCACTGCCGCAGGAGGTAACGGTAAGACGACGGTGTCTGACAAAATCTGATGCAGCCTCACTTTTTTGTCCAATTCCTCCTTCTGAGTCAAACTCGCCCGCTCCTTCTGGCTGCTCTCGTAAACTTTCTTGACGTGGGCGACGCGTTCGACTTTTAGCGTTGCCTGGCAACTGGCGGATCCAGCAGAGTTGGTTGCGGTCACTCGGTATACACCGGAGTCTTCAGGCAGCGTGTCTCTCACGTGAAGAATGAAATAATCCAAGCCCTCGTGCACGAGTTCGATAGATGGCCCGAAGGCGATGGGCGTGCCATCCTTTTCCCACTTGAGCGCCGGGTGTCCCGACACCCTGATTTCAAAGCGAACGTTCTGGCCCTCTCTGCACTCGACATTGGCAAGAAGGCGCTTGAACATGGGCCTGATGGTGAGGTCTGCCGGTTTCGGCCGAGGAACCACGGTAAGACGAGCCTTGCAGGTGTCGTCGCCGTACCGGTTGCGGGCTACGACGCTGTACTCTGCATCGTCGTCATCGTCGACGCTGTGGATAACGAGCTGGTACAGGCCTGTGTCACTGATGAAGGTGTACTTTTTGTCATCCTCTCCGGGGAGCAGCTTTTGTCCAGATTTGTGCCACGTGACGCGGGGCTCGGGGTGAACGGTGATGGTCACGCCAAAGCGCACGTCCTCGCCAACGTATGCCGTGTGGTTAACCAGCGGAAGGGTGAACTCCGGCGGCTTCTGAAGCATTCTGGCCGTGTCGATTCGACGCTTGGTCCTCTTGACCACGCGAGCGGTGAAGAAGTCACGGTATGACCTGACGCCGTTGACGAAGAGCTCCGCGTAGACGCTGTCCTCGCCGTATTCATTGACGACTTTGCATCTGTACGTGCCGTCGTCCGCTCTCGTCACCTTGGCGATCGTGATCGCCGCCAGGCCGTCGTCATAATCGATTTTGTACCTGTCGCTAGCTTCCAGTTGCCTGACGCCGCAATACCAAGTGACCTCAGTGGTGCTGTCATAGTTGTCAATGTTGCAGATGAACTTGGCACTGTCACCCTCGCTGGCCACCAAGTGTCCGACCTGGCCTCCGACCGGTCCGTGTTCAAACGGAGCGATCTTCACCTTGGCGATGAACACGCCTCGCTGGGACCTAATCGAGCCGCCGCTGGCCACGCGAGCCGCAGACACGGCGGTATTCCATTCTTTCCTCGCCATTGTCTGGTAGTATCTCTTGTGTCTGGTGCTCTGGATGGTTCCGGTACTCAAATGTTCCGCAGGCGCGGACAACCACGGATGCAGCAGCGCCTCGGCAGCGGTCATGCGGTGCTTGCGTTCCTTCGTCATTAAGCGGTCTGTGAAGTCCAACGCTTCAACGCTGACCCGCTTGAAGGATTCGTCATCGTAGCTGTAGGCTGCGTTTGAAATGTTGTCAATCATCTGCTGGTTGGTTTCGGCCACGAATGGATTGAGTCCACTGAGGAGTACGTAGGACAGGACGCCGACTGACCACATGTCGGTCACGGTGCTCACCATGTCACACTGGTGGATCTCAGGGGCGGCGTACTCCACAGTGGTGTACTGGACCTTGATTTGCTCTCCCGGCGTCAGGTGTCTGCACTGGCCCAACTCGATGATTTTTACAACGGAGCTGGTTCTTGTCGCGTACACGACGTTCTCGGGTCTGATGTCAAAATGCCCGTAGCTCTGACTGTGCAGAAACTCGAGGGCGGAGCAGATCTGCCGAATGTAATTGGCGATCTCTCGCTCATTGAGCTCAAACTCTGCTGCGTTGAGACGCTCAAAGATGTCGCCGCCTGAGATGAAGTCGTAGATCAGGACCAGCTCCTCTGGGCTATCGAATGACTCGTGGAGAAGGAGGAAGTTGGCGTGCTTGGCCAGGTTCAGTGTCGCTATCTCTTTCTTCACAATCGCCTGATCCGCACCCCTGACTTTGACAAATTTAGCCATGTAGGTCTTCTCAGAGCTGATGCTCACACAGCGGTGGACGATACCAAACTGACCTCTTCCCAATTCTTCTGCAATAGCAAATCTGTGATGCAGATTCTTCGCATCAGAGTGTTGGGCTTTGCTTCTGGGAACGTGCCCTGTCTCGTCAACCTCCCTGTCATAGAGAAGAACTCTGGATTTGTCCTCCTTCGTCATGACGGGTCCGCTGCTCTCGGACGGGGCACTCTGTCCAAATTTGTTCTCGGCGATGACTCTGAACTGATAGCTCGTTCCCCCGAAGAGATTGATAACAGTGTAGCGGGTGTCACGAGATTGAGCGACGCGCTCCCACATCTCGGCTGTGGTGGGGCACTTTTCAATCGTGTAACTGATCACCCTGCTGCCGCCATCGTTTGCTGGGGCAACCCAATTAAGTGTGACGCAGTCTCGAGAGACATCGCTGGCTTTAATGCCGCGCGGGGGATCAGGGACATCCGCCACGTCCAGCTCGACCGTCTGCTGATCAATCCCAAATCTGTTTTTAGCGCAGACAATGTAGAATCCAGCGTCCCTCTTCTCCACCCCGTTGGGGAACACCAAAGAAGTGAAGGATCGCGTGACGATGACTTGGTAGTGGCCATTGCTGTCGATAAGATCTTGTCCCTTCTGCCATGTGATGACAGGATCTGGCTTGCCACCGAAAGGTATCTTAATATTGACCATTTCTCCACGCAGGGCAGGAATTGCTTCTTTGTCCTTGAGGTTCTTGGGAAGGTGGATCTTTGCAGGAACTGATAACAGAGGAAAACGTAGTCATTGTGAAGAGAACATCTGTTGTTGAGAACAAGTAAGTAATAACATATTTGTCCCCCCCCCCACCCCCACCCTCAAAAAAAAAAACCATGCAATGTATTCTTACTTTCAACATCCAGAGAGATGGTAGCACAGATGGAACCTCCTTGGTTGGTTGCCCTGATCTGGTACACAGTCGAGTCTTCCTCGTCAGCCTCGGCGATGACCAGTTGGTGGTAACCTCCCTTGAATTCTTGAATCTTGATCTTCTTTCCATCCGAATGGATCTCCTTTCCTCGTCGGAACCACTTGATGACGGGTTTGGGCTGACCTGTGATCTTGCAGACGAGCGTAGCGTTGCTCTTGTGTTTGACGCTTATATTCCTCAGCTCCTCCCTGAACGCAGGCGCTCGAACGTCAACCGCTACGGCGGGGACAATGGGAGCACTCTCCTCACTGTAGTCACTTTGTCCTCCGAGGTTCTCGCACTTCACCCGAAATACATGTTCGATGCCCTCTGACAAGCATTTGACGGAAAAGACCGTCTGTTTGATCTCATCTGCGGTCACCGGCGTCCATTCGCCCCATTCTTTCTTGGTCCTCTTTTGCTTCTTCTCAAGGCAATAGCTCTTGATTTTGGAGCCGCCGTCACTGAGGGGAGGCTTCCAGGAAACCACGCAGGAGTCTTTGGTGATTCCAGAAACAACTATTGCCTGAGGCGGTGATGGTTTCTCTGCGGACAAGAAAATGTTTTGTCAGTACAGCAGCACGGCGTTTGTCTGAATTTGGTGAAGATTAGCTTGTGGACTGAACAAACCCAATTGGCTCTTAATGAGGATCGGCGCGATGAGTTCAAGCGGCTCGCTGTTGCCATTGCGATTCTGGGCGTATACGCGGAAAAAGTATCCAACGCTGTCGGTCAGGTTGGGCACGCGACAGGTTGTGCCATTAATGGATGATGACACCAGTTCCCACTCGCTTCCTTCCTTGTCCTCGCGCTTCTCCACGATGTAGTTGGTAATCAGGCATCCGCCGTCGTCGCCGGGAGGCTTCCAGCTGATGATGACAGAGTTCTTCAGGAGCGCCTCCAGAACGATGGGACCCTGGGGGGCGTCAGGTTTGTCTGCAAACAAAGGATTGCGGCGCATCGGAATCGTGATCGCTTTGACCAAGGCAAAGCTAGTACTCGCCGAGGTGTGAGGACGTACCGTAGATTTCAACATTAAAGGCGGTGTCGGCCCTGCCAAAGTGGTTGTGCAGTCGGATCCTGTATTTTCCTCCGTGGATTCTGCGCTGCACGTTCTTGATGATGAGGTGGGTATAATGCTCCGTGGTCTCGATACTGACGTCCTCCGAGTTCTCCAAGGTCTTCGCCTCCTGGAGCCACATAATCTTTGGTGCAGGACGGCCAATGTACACAGCGTGGATGCGCAGGGTTGTTCCCAGACCGGCGTAGTAGGTGCTCTTCAACGGGTAGTCGGAGTGGAAGGAGGGAGCGGCTTCCAGGACGAGAACTCCTGTGGTTTCTGCTTCTCCGGCATCGTTGGTAGCCTTACAGGTGTATTCTCCCTCGTCTTCTTGTTGGTCGGTCATGACGGAAAGGGAGTGGTTACGGCCATCGGAGCTCATCTCGTATTTGCGGGACTCGACGATCTCCTTTCCCGCGTGGTACCACCGGATCTCTGGAACAGGCCTGCCGATGATCTGGCACTTCATGACAGCGGGCTGTCCAAGCTTCTCCGTGACTTCATCCATTTCCTTTCTCAGACTTGGTTTTGTTTCAACTAGGTCAGGGGCAAGCAGAGAGATACACAAAGTCTCACATGTGAACAGGTGGCTGATTGTCTGGTGACAACAATTGATATCTTCATTCATATATATATATGCCTGTATATGAGAGAGAGAGAGAGCGGTAGATGGATAGAACGATAGATAGTCTACGTACCACTCAGTTTAGTCTTAATGCAAGTGGCTGTCCGTCGAGGCCTGCTTATTCCGGTCTCATTCTCGGCAAGTACTCTGAACTCATATTCAGTAGCTTCAGCCAGGCCACGCATGGTGAACTCCTGTTCTTTCAGCCTCTCCCTGTGGCATTTCTTCCAGGTGCTTTCAGTGGACTTCCTGTATTCCACCCAATAGCCCAGGACCTCTTTTCCACCATCACACTCTGGAGCTTGCCAGCGAATGGTGATCAAGTTGTTCGTCACAGTTGTTGTATCAATTTCACCCGGCTGGCTTGGCTTGTCTGCAAGGTACAAACAAGCAAAGCAAAGTCAAATGTCCTTACTGACCGCAGCCACGCAAGAGCGCGAGTGAGACGAGAGATGAGAACTCTTCATGCGAATGAAAGGACGTGTCTTTGAAAGGAAGGCGGTTGGCGGTCAAGCCTTTGACTTCCCTCAAATATAATGACTCACCGAATGGATCTTTGCACGTGACTGTATCTGACACGGGTCCGGCCTCACTCTCGCCGATGTCATTGACCGCAAAAATACGGAAGTGATAGTCCGCATTTGCCGTGAGGCCAGACAGGGTAAACGTGGTGGAGGGAATCCTGGCGGGGTGACGAGACCATTGCTCCGCAGACGCCTCCTTGTACTCGATGAAGTAACCGGTGACGGAAGACCCTCCGTCATCCTTTGGTCTGGACCATGTCAGTGCCACGGAGCTCTTGGTGACATCCACGATCTCCGGCGGGGTACCGGAAGGCTGCGGTGGGCCTATTTTGCAAACGAGAGTTTCCCGGCTCACCAACAGCTGTTGAATCGATTCTGGCACGTGATGGGAAAAGCAAGAAGACTTACAAAGCGGAGTCTTGGGCACCAGCGGCTGCTCCGACTTCAGCGATGGACCGATACCAAAAGAGTTCTCAGCGGTAACCTTAAAGTGATATTCTGTTCCTTCGTTTAGGCCCTTGACAAGCAGCTGGTTATCAGTCACCCTGCTGTCCACCGTGTACCACGCATTTCTGGTGACCTCTCTTCTTTCAACAATGTAACCGAGTATCGCGGCACCGCCGTCGTCGGCGGGCACTTTCCAGGACACCTTCACAGAGTTGGCCTGGATTTCCTCAAACGTTAACGGTCCTTCTGGAGCACTCGGACGGCCAATGACATTGACCTTGATTTGGGCCTTCTTCCTGCCAACTTTATTTTCCAAGCACAGCTCATATACACCGGAGTCGCTCCTCTCGGCTCCTTTGATCACCAGTTCACTGGTGTCTCCGGTGAAAGCAACCATGGCCTTGAGTGACAGTGGCCCGCTGTCCTTTGACCACGAGCAGGTGGGGGGAGGTTTCCCCTTGATGGGAAGAGAGAGCCGGACCACCCCGCCGTGACGAACCACGTACACGTCTTTGTATTTCAGCTCGAGTTCACAATCGGGAGATTCTGGCGAGCCAAAGGGTAGAAATGCGAGTTATTTTTCCACTGACTTCCATGAAAACAACACGGTGACTGTAGCCGGCGTGGTCATTCCCGTACGTGCTTACCAAACATCTCTGTGACGGCGATAGTTCCAGGAACTTCGGCCGGCTCGCCGGAACCTCCCGCGTTGCAGGCCAGTACTCGGAATTTGAACTCCTCTCCTTGTGGCATGTTGGTCAGTGTGTACTCGCAGATCAGAGATGGGGTGGTGTTGCATTTGAGCCAAGCCATGGTGCCCACTTTCTGCATCTCAATGAGGTACCCGTCCACTCTCGCGTCTCCCTCATCATCGGGGGGACTCCAAGCCAGTGAGACGGACGACTTGGTGGTTTCCGTGATCCGAGGGTTCTGCGGGCAACCGGGCGGATCTGACCGGGACAGAAAGAGAGTTACGGTTTTATGGATCCGACTGTCAACGTGAAATGAATCAAAACATTGAGACTTGACAAAGTGCTGTGCAGAAAAAAAAAAAACGCAGAAATATTTCATTTGGGTGTTGCTGATCTCTCACCGATGGGATCTGACGCCACAGCTGGTTTCGAAGGCAAACTTGGTTTGCTTAATCCGCGTGCGTTGATAGCGATGATTCTGTGTTCGTACTCCAGGCCTTCGATGAGCTCCGTCGAGCGGTATCTGTTCATGGTGACGGGATTCTTGTTGGCACGCACCCATCTGTCAGCCCGGACTTCTTTGCGCTCGATGATGTAGCCGGAAACCTCCAGCCCGCCGTCCTCTTCTGGCGGGTTCCAGGCAACAGTCATGCCGTCGCGTGAAACATCAAAAATAGTCGGTCGGCCGGGAGATCCAGACACATCTGTGGAGGTGAGACAACACGTTAGCCTTCTGTCAGGGCTTATGAGCACATCTACTTTTGGGAATTAAAAAAAAAAAAAAAAAAACAGTCGTTACTTGTCAGGCTCCGACAGGTGACAATCTCAGACTGTAAGAATTCTCCGGTGCCGTAGTGATTCACAGCAGCCGCACGGAAGACGTACTCTTCTCCCTCAGTCAGGTTCTCAAATTTGAAGGTGGGTCGACTGACAGAGTCCGAAACCGGCACCCAGCCTGGTCTGTGGGCATCTCGTTGCTCCACCGCGTAGCCACTGACCGGAGCTCCGCCGTCCCTGGCAGGAGGATCCCAGCTACAGGTGACTGTGGTGGCGTCAATCTCATCAAATCGGATTGGTCCTTCTGGTTCGTCGGGTTTGGCTGAGAGAAAATCAGAGTGCCAAAATGATTCCGACCGCACTTCTTTTGTTGTATGAAATCAGGTTCAATGTCTTCCATATTCAGTAGTGGGTAGTAACGTACTACATTGACTTCATCGCATTAACACAAGCAACATTTTGGGACAAATTATACACGCCACATAGTTTGGATTAAAGTTTTTACTGGTGTGTGTGTGTGTGTGTGTGTCTATCTATCTATCTTTATCTATCTGTCTATGTCTATATACAGTATATAGATATAGATAGATACACACACACACACACACACACACACACACACACACACACACACACACATACACACACACACATACACATACACACAGCTATGCTAACGCACGACTGCTTCGGAACGAAAAGACGCAGCTCCAAAAAAAGCCTCCATGTTGTTATTAGACTTGGTCAACAGGAAGCTTCTTCATTCCATCGTTTGTGTGAATAAAGCCAATGCTTGTTTTTTATTCCATTCCACGCCATTATGCATGTATGCTCTTATTCTAAAGTAACAGACTGAGCTCCTGCTTGAGTACAATGCGTGGTGGCTACTCCGCCCACCTCTGACCATATTTCACCTGAACATATCTGAACATATCAAAGATAAGGCCCATCCGCAGGGGTTTCCTTACAGAGAATGACAACCTTGATGACCTCGGCGGTAACACCAACAGCGTTCTTCAACTCCAAGGTGTAGTTTCCAGTATCGTCAATGGTCGTGTCGGCAATGGTTAGTTTGGAAAAGTTGCCGGTGCTCCGGATCTTGACACGGTCTGTGATTTTGATCCTACTTTCGCCAAAGAACCAGAAGCAAGACGGGGGAGGCCTGCCGACGATCGGCAGGTCCAGCTCCAGGGTTTTACCGGCCAGAAGGTGAACGGCTTTCTGCGGAAGGCTTGTGAAATCCGCTGCGGGCATCACTGGAAAAAAACAAGAAGCCCCGCCCCGCCCCCGCAATGTTTAGGAAAGGCGAAAAAACATGTTTGGTCTCGTGCAAAAAGACCAAAAAAATCAAAACGCTCTGACTATGACTATGCCGGTCACCTCTTTGTTCTTTGACGGTCACCGGTGCGACCAGCTCCTTTGCTTCACCGGCACCTCGACTGTTGATGGCTTTGATTCTGAACAAGTACTGCTCCCCTTCATTCAGCTTCTCAATGGTGTGCTCAAAGTCGGTTAGCTTGAGCGAGGCCACCTTCATCCACTTGTCGGTGCCAAATTTGCAGGCCTCAACCACGTAACCGGTCAGTCTGCTACCTCCGTCGTGCTCGGGTTTCTCCCAGCCCAACGAAACGGCGCTTTTGGTGACATCGACCACCTCCAATTTGCGCGGCGGGTGAGGCACCTCGCAAACCAGGACGACGTCCGATGTCTCGCGAGGCTCACCGACACCGTAAATGTTTTCAGGCAGGACGCGGAAGTAATACAGCATGCCCTCCATCAGGCCCTCAATCTTGAAGGATGTCTTGCTGCACTTGGAAGTGACGGTTTTGTAGGCTCTCATGGAGGCCTCGCGCCTCTCAAGAATGTAATTATTGACAGGGGCTCCGCCGTCGACAGTCGGGGCATCCCAGGAGATGGTGGCGTATTCTTTGGTCAGTTCCTTGATCTTGATCGGTCCTGTCGGTCCCGGCGTGTCTAGAATTCCAAAAAAAAAAGTTCACAATTTGGATACAGCATTCCTAAATAGTCCGAATCACGACGTACGCATCGACTCGTGACACGGTCGTCCGCTTACCGTAGACTTTGACCAGAATATCGACTTCTCGTTTCCCGGCAGAGTTCTCGGCCACCAGCGTGTATTTTCCAGCATCGTATCGGTGGACCTTGTCAATGATGAGCGTGGTTGAGTTGTGGGTGACCTCGACGAAGCCTCGGCTGTTAAGGTCGACGCCCGGCTTGCTCCAAATGATTGTCGGAGCGGGACGGCCGCTAACATTGACAAAGAGACGCAGAGAACCGCCGGCACGCAGGCAGATGGTCTTCTTCAGATCATCGTGGAGCTCCAAGTCAGGAGTTTCTGTTGGGTCGAGATCATAATGAATGAGCCTGTTCAGCCTGTCTGTCTGTCTGTCGTTCTTAGCAGGAGAGAAAATGATATTCTTCCGATCGAACGGGCAACATACCGATTCTCTCCACTGGCTCTGTTTCGGCACAGGGCTCGCTGAAGTCTCCGGTGCCGTTGATGTTGAGGCCGGCCACTCGGAAGCTATACTTCTTCCCCGAGCAAAGTCCGGTCGCCGTGTGTTCCGAAGTCCGCAGCGTCTTCTCGTGGGCCTTTGTCCACTCCTCTGTCCCAGCTTCCTGCATTTCCAAAATGTAGGCCAGCACATCAGCTCCTCCGTCCTCCACGGGGCGGGACCAGGCCAAGCTGATGCTGTCAGCATGGGTGTCAGTGATACGAGGTACAGAGGGGGCAGACGGGGTGCCTAAGACGAGGGGAGGGAGAGATTTTAAAAGCAGCCATCGGCGGTCACGGCCGGTCGGCGCGTCACCAACAAATTGTATTTGTCCATCAGCGACTGCCGAACTTACATGTCGGCTCTCTGCAGACAACATAGAGAGAAACCTCACTGGGCTCACTCTCTCCAGCCTTGTTGACGGCAGTGACCCTGAACTGGTAGACGTTGCCTTCGGTCAAACCCGACACTTTCAGTGTCGTGTCGAGATGAGCTCCGCTTCTGTTCACCTTCACCCAGCGGGCGCTCTTCTTCTCACGCCTCTCAACCAGATAGTGGACCAACGGACTGCCGCCATCGCTCTCAGGCTTCAGCCACTCAATGGTCGCAAAGTCCTTTCCGGACACCAGGATCTCCGGTGCACTCGGTGGAGTTGGCACAGCTGGAAGAGGATGTGCTTCAGGTTGAAATCGACAACTCCGGCAGGCGGGGGTTATAATAACGATGATTGCTGGAAGGCAAGCCCGTCGCGTAGCGGAACGTGGCGTTACCGTCTACGTGACGGCAGCACCGCATGCCGCTAGGACTACGATCCAACAAAGCGGTCATTGACGTGCGGGAAAACCACGAGCGAAAACTTCCGACTGCAAGCGACGCCATGAAGGAAATGCGTTTCGCACACATTTTGATTTTGCACACGGCCGGACGGTAACACTCACTGAAAGTGTTTCTGGCGACCATGGGCTCGGAGAGAAGCGGGACTCCGGGGCCGTACTTGTTGATTCCCCGGACTCGGAACAAGTATTCTGTGTTCTTGACAAGTCCGGTGATGCCACAGGTCAGCTCCTTGCACTCGGCATGCATGAAAACCCAGTTCAGTCTGTTGGTGTCCCTCCTCTCGACGAGGTAGTGGGACACCTCGTCACCGCCGTCCTCCAAAGGTGGCTTCCAGCTCAGCGTGCACGACTCCTCTGTGACCTTGCTGATCTGGATGCCGCCTTCGCACGCCCCTGGGGTGTCTAGAAACATTCGCCACCGCGTTGTTAGTCGCCTCCGGGTCTGAAAAGGATTTTGATGACCGATACGACGCACGCCTACTCACCGAGGACTTTGACGTTGACTTCGGCAGTCTTTGTTCCACTCACGTTCCTGACGGTGAGAATATACTTGCCGGTGTCATCTCTGTCACAGAACTTGATGATGGCCGTCGCCCGGCTGGCTGTGTATCGCAAGTGGTACTTCTCGCATAACTCCAGTTCCCTGCTGCCCTTGGACCAGGAAGCTTTGGGGTCAGGCCTGCCACCCACCGCAGCGTCCAGAACCAGGTCTGACCCCGCTCTCACCATAACAACTTCAGACAGGAGTTTGCCATCCAGCTGAGCCTTTGGAGGTTCTAGCGTAACATATCGACATATTTATTTTACACTCGCTGCATCCGCGCGGTCGGCCTGGGTATTTGCCGCATACTGTACGTGACATCAGATCTTCACAAATACCTCAAAGAGCTTACCAAAGTCAGTCTTGCACTGCACGGAACCGGTGGAATCTGATGGGGCGCTAAAGACCTGGTTGGCATTCTTGGCAATGACTCTGAACTCGTAGGGTTCTCCTTCTCCCAGGGCGGTAACGGTGTAGAAAGTGTCAGTCACGTTCGTGTAGTTACACTTCAGCCAGCGGCCCTCGCCGGTCAAGGTGAATGGTTTACGCTCAATGACGTATCCGACGATTGGACTGCCACCGTCATTCAGCGGCGGCAGCCATTTGAGCGACACTGTGGTCCTGGTTACATTTGTCACTTCTGGCTTGCTTGGCGCGTCTAAAAATGGAAACGTTGACTCGTGTGAGTCGTAGGTCGGAGGTGATCAACATTTGCGGGGGCGAGCAATACTCACCGACGGGGTTTTGGGCGACTGCTCCTTTGGAGGCTTCGCTGGCCTTGCTCAGACCGGCACTGTTCATCGCATAAACTCGGAACTGGTACTCGAGGCCTTCAACGAGGTCTTCCGCCTTATAAAAGCACTCAAAGCATGGGATCTTGTTTTCCCTCACCCAAAGAATATTGTTTCGCTCTTTCTTCTCAATCCAGTAACCTGTCACCTCGCTGCCGCCGTCGTGATAGGGCTCCTCCCACTTCAAGGTCATCGTGTTGGCAGAGATGTTCAAGACGGATGGCCTTGTTGGGGGTCCGGGAGGTGCTGTCGCAGTCAAACGTGAAGTTCGTGAGCCATTCATGCCTTTTGCGATCCAAAGTGTTGTCGTCGTTCAGATTGCGGAATTGTACTTACTGTAAGGATGCTCCGCAACGATGGTCTCCGACTCGGTCGGCTTGCTGACGCCAAATCTGTTCTCGGCGGAGACCCTGAAGGTGTACTGCATGTACTTGGTCAGGTGACTGACATGGAGAGACGTGCGCTTCACACTGGAGTTGATCAGCTGCCAGGCGCTGGAACCGGATTCGCGCTTCTCCACAATGTAGTTGGTAATGTCGGTGCCGCCATCGTCCTCCGGTGCATCCCAGTTGACGACACAGGATTGGGAGGTGATATTTGAGATCTCAACAGGCCCCAGTGGAGGATTGGGCCGACCCGTAACATTCACGTCAATCGTAAAGGTCTTGGTTCCGGCGACGTTCTCCAGGGTCAGGTAGTATTTTCCACCATCGCCCCTCATGGCGTCCTTGACGGATATGCTCGTTCTGTCTTTCGTCACTTTAACGGAAACTCGCTCCGAGTTCTTCAACCTCATCTCCTCCAGCCTCCAGGCTACCGTGGGAGCGGGCCTCCCACTAATGGGAACGTCAATTGTGAAGACGCTGCCAGATCTGCACGTGATCAGCTGATTGCTGATCTCGCTGAGATCAGCAGCAGGTTCGATGTGTGGCTCTCTGACCAACACTGGAGCTGGAGTTTCCCTGGGTCTGCTGAGGCCAGACTCATTCCTAGCTTTCACGCGGAAGTGATACTCATCTCCCTTGTTGAGCTTTTCGACCACGTAGGAGAGGTTCTTGGCGGTGCCAACCACGAACCACTTATCCGTCCCCTTCAGCCTAGTCTCGATGACGTAACACTGGACACGGCTGCCGCCGTCGTGCTCCGGCTTCAGCCAGCTTAGGGACACCGAGCTGTCTGTGGTGTCCACAATGTCCAGTCTCTTTGGCGGCGCTGGCTCAGCTGTGGCGATGACGGGCTCTGTCATCTCCAGCGGCTCACCGACACCGTGCTGGTTCTCCGCGGAGACCCTGAAGAAGTATGGCACTCCCTCCAGGAGGTCCTGGATTTTCATGACATTCTGAGTGCATTTGCCCCCGGACTGCTGCCACGTGCGACGGGTCGCCTCACGCCTCTCGACAACGTAGTGGTGGATTCGCGCTCCGCCATCGTTGAGTGGAGGCTGCCACGCAAGTGTGACTGAGCCTCTGGACACCTCTTGGAAGGCTAACGCCTGAGGAGCTCCCGGAGTGTCCATGACTCTCACGGTGAAAGTAACGGCCTTGCTACCGCTGCTGTTCTCCAGATTGACAGTGTATTTGCCTGAATCACTTCGAGAGCAGTTTTCAAGATGTAGAGTACTGCTGCCCTCCGCAGTGGTGACCTCTGACATCACACCCAGCGCTCCTTCTTCTTTCAGCCAGGTGGCGACCGGGACAGGCTTCCCCCTGAATTGGACGCCTAGTTTCACTGAGCCTCCAGCCTTGACAATATGCGTTTGCTTGAAGGCGGCATCAATGTCCACCTGCGGCGGTGCGAGTCTGTCGATGGCCCGAGCCGGTTCTAAAGTGGCCATGTCCTCACCTCTCCCGACTTGATTTACAGCGGCCACTCGGAACTTGTACTCAACCCCAGTGTCTAGACCGGTCACCGCGTACTGCGTTTGTGTCACGAGCTCTCCGTTTACTCTGCTCCAGTCAGGTTCATCGCCCTTGGCCATCTCAACAATGTAGCCCAGGATATCAGAACCTCCGTCGTCTGCAGGTTTGCTCCATTCCAGACTGATCGAGGTATTTGTGGAATCATACACGCAGACCACAGATGGAGCACAGGGGATATCCTTTGGCCCGGCAGCCTTAATGGGCAGGGAGATATTGCTCGGAGAGCCGATACCGGCGTCATTCACGGCATTGACCCGGAACTCGTATTCCACGTCCTCGGTGAGATGAGAAACCGTGTGAGCACATTCGGCGATGGGCTTCTTTGAAAGCACCCGGTAGAAACGGACGGTCTTCTTCTCTCGTTTTTCCAGAATGTAGTGAAGAATGGGGCTCCCGCCATCAGATGTTGGAGGAGTCCAGGCCAAAGTTATGCTTTCCGCTGTGACCTCGGTGGCATCAGGAGTGCCTGGAGAATCGGGGGCGGCTGGGAAGAAACGGTCAATGGCAATACGTGAAGAGCAAGAGGAAAGAGATTCTGTCAAATGAAAAAGGTCAATCTCGTGACTTACTGTATTGCAGCTGTGCAATAACGGGGCAGGATTCCAACGGCCTGCCCGCACCAAACTTGTTCACAGCCGAAACCCTGAACTGGTACTCATTGATCTTCATGAGTTTGGTGGCGGCGAACGTGCACTCGCGACAGTCATCGGACACTAACGCCCAAGAGATCTTGGATGTTTCGCGCTTCTCGATGATGTAATGTGAAATTTCTGAGCAGCCGTCGTTCTCCGGCGGATTCCAGGACAGAGTGCATCTGCCCTCCGAGATGTTGCTGAACACGATGGGTCCTAGCGGTTCCCCGGGGGTGTCTGCGTCACGCGAGAGAGTTCGAGTTACAAGTCGAGAAATCCCTTGTAGCATTCTGTGCCGTCATCAACAGAGACAAGTGCGCACCTTGTACTTGAACCAGGAGGTCCTCCTTTTTGCTGCCCGATCCATTGATGGCTTCAACGGTGTAGAGACCGCGGTGAGTACGGTCGGCGTCTCTGATGAAAAGAGTGCTGTATCCGGAAACGGTGACAATATCCATCATCTTTTTGGTGATTTCCACACCATCTCTGTACCAGACCACCTTGGGCACGGGCCGTCCGGCGATGGCCACCTTCACTCTGATGTTGTCACCCGCTTTGACAGTCAAACCCTCAAAATACTCCGGGCCAAATTCAATGTGAGGGGCGGCTGGTTGAGAAGAAAAGGCAATCAATCAGTGGAGTGGACGAGAAACGGATGGTCATTTTATCGCTCACTCTCCCACGCTCCCGCCGGCTTATCTTTGCTTACCGTTCTCGCTTCGGACGACAATCAAACCGGACGAGTTGGACGGGGGACTGACGACTCCGATGGCATTTCTGGCAATCACCCTGAACTCGTAGCGCTCATTCGTCGTCAAGCCCGTCACAGTGTGCTGGCAGTCCTGCACATCAGTCAGGTTGGCCTTGAACCAACGACCCTGGCCCTGACGTTTCTCAATGTTGTAGCCGCTAATCTTGCTACCGCCGTCGCGTTTGGGCGCATCCCACTTCAGCGTGATGGAGTCACCGGTCACGTCAGTGTAGTCAGGCTGGCCCGGAGGATCTGAAAGACAGAAGTTCACCATTTGTCTGGCAAAAGAGCTCGTGAAGAGATTCTTCACTGTGCGTGAGCCCGCGGTTGGAACTCACCGACGGGGCTGACGGCCATGATGGGCTTGCTCTCATCGCTCGTTCGGCTGCAGCCGGCATCATTCTGCGCGTACACTCTGAACGAGTACTCGAGGCCTTCAATGAGACCCGGGACCCTGTAGTCGGTTTCTCTGATGAGCACCGCGTTCACCTTCTGCCACATGACGCTGTTTTTTTCCCTCTTCTCCACATGGAAGCCCTGGATGGGGGTGCCGCCGTCATAAATAGGCTTCTCCCACTGGATTGTCATGCCGTCATTGGTGACGTTATACACAACGGGCCGGCCTGGTGGGCCCGGGGGTCTGAACTGGTGCTTGGCAATGACCATCTGTGAGACCAGGGGTTCACTGACTCCATACCTGTTCTCAGCACACACTCTGAACTGATATTGGACACCCTTGACCAGGTTGGGCACTTTGAACTGAGTTCCCTCCACCCTGGAACACGCCATCTTCCAGTCGGGCTGAGAGGCGTCGCGCTTCTCGACAGTATAGCAGTCGATGTCTCCACCGCCGTCATCGTTGGGCTCATCCCAGGAGATCACGACGCTTTCCGCTCTCACTTCATCCAGGCGGATGGGTCCGAGGGGCTTCGACGGGGGTCCGAGGGTAATGACGTGGATGTGGAAGGACTTTCGGTTGATTTGGTTGTCGAGAGTAAGTGTGAATTTCCCCTCGTTCTCTTTCTTCACGTTCTTTATCATGAGCGTGGCTTTGTTGTCTGTCTTCTTGAAGCGGACTTGGTTGCTTTCCTTCAGAGGAAGGTTGTCCTTCAGCCACGAGACCGACGGTTTGGGTTTACCTCTGTATGGCAGCTCAATATGGACATTGTGACCCAAGCGAACGCAGATTCTTCCATCGGGGTAGTCGGCAAGGCTCGCTTCCGGTGTTATGACATAGTCAATGACCTTGATTGGCCCGATTTTCACAAAGTCACCCTGCCCCTTCTCATTTCGAGCAGCCACTCTGAAGAGCACCTCGGAGTGCTCCTTCAGTTGTTTGACCTCAAACTCGCAGAGTCGGCTCATTCCTCCCAGGGCCCAGTCCTCACCCGCGACTTTCTTTTCGACGATGTAGTCGGAGATGATGCTGCCGCCATCGTAATCGGGCTTGGCCCACTGCAGCGTGACTGACGTCTTTGAGGAATCCTTCATAGAAACGTCTTTGACCGGTCCGGGAGTCTCCGTAGCCTTCACCGGTTCAAGCGTTTCGCACGGTTCACCGACACCGTTCTCATTCTCCGCGAGTACACGGAAATAGAAGGAGCTCTTTTCAGAGAGATCTTCAATGGTGTAAGTGGTGTCGGTGCATTTGCTCGTGACTGCAGAGTATGATCTCTTGGAAGAGTCCTTCTTCTCAACGATGTAGTTGGTGATTTCAGCGCCGCCATCGAGGAGCGGTGCCTCCCAGCAAAGAGTGACTTTTCCACGGGCTACGTCTTTCAGTGTCAGGTTCCTGCACTGAGCTGGAGAGTCCTGGACCTTCACGGACAAGGTTAGCGTCTTGGGCTCTCCTACGCCGTTCTCAATCTTGACTGTATATTTTCCAGTGTCCAGCTTGGTGACCTCACGCATCACAAGGACCGCGGTCGTGTCGGAGTGGTGGAATTCGTAAGAGGGATCGTTGTCAATGCATACGTCTCCTTTGCTCCAGGAAGCGTCGGGAGACGGTCGACCCTTCAAAGGAACAGACAGCTCCACATCCTTGCCGGCCTTCACAATGTAGTGAGTTCTCATGGCGACGTCGGAGTCAATCTGGGCCTCCTCTGTGAAAATGATTTTTCATTTTCAGTCATTTAAAATAAAACAAAAAAACCAAAGGAAACAAGAGGAAGAAGAAATTTCTCAAGTCTGCAAAGTCACTTACCCAGGATATCTTTGGCCTGTACGGGCTCGGTCATCTCCAGAGGTTCCCCGCGGCCAGCGCAGTTGACGGCAGAAACTCGGAAGAAGTAGTTAACGTCCGGCTTTAAGTCATGTACAGTATATTCGGTCATCTTGACCTCTCCCTTTGAGGTAACCATGGCCCAATCTTCCTCTCCCTCCACAAGTTTCTCCACCATGTAGCTGGTCACCTCGCTGCCTCCGTTGCACTCTGGCTTGGACCAGCCCAATGTGATCGAGGTCTTTGTAGAATCCATCACCTTCAGCTTGCAGGGCTCGTCTGGAGCATCTGCGCGGCAAACGGCACGGTCGGCACGGGCGGTCTTCGATTCTCATTTTGGAAGCCGGTCTCTCTGATCGCTTACCGACAGGATCTGCGGCCTGATAGAAGTCGGACACATCAGAGAAGGGCCCTTCTCCAGCTTGGTTGATGGCACAGACACGATACTGGTAATCATTTCCTTCCGTCAGATGGTAGACGGTCTGTTTGTTGTCACGAATGGGGTCTTTGTAAACTCGGATCCAGCGCAAACTCTTTTTGTCGCGCCTCTCCAAGTAGTAGCCGGTAACCGCGCTCCCCCCGTCCACACCTGGGCTTTCCCATTCCACCACCATCGTGGTTTTAGCGATGATGTTCACCTCAGGCGTATGCGGCTGTCCCGGAGTGACTGATGAAAACGCAGAAAGAGCAGATGTGTGATCCCTTTGTGTTTCTTACGACCGGTGACAGGAGAAGATAACTCTCGCTCGACTGTGAAACCGACGGTGAAAACAGGCCTGCATTCCAAAGCTTACCAAAAGCATTCTTGGCAACGACAGCCTCCGACTCCAGCGGCTCTCCCACGCCGTACTTGTTCACGGCCATGACCCGGAACACGTATTCATTTCCTCGCACCAGTTTGCCAACGGAGATGTACGTCTGCTCGTGCCGCTCCGAGACTGTCGACCAGACCACTCTGCTGGTTTCGCGCCTCTCGACGATGTAGTGCGTCACTTTGGAACCGCCCTGGTCGGCCTCACAGACAGGCTCCCAGCGGAAGGTGATTCTGTCGGCTGTAATCAGGTTAAAGTTGATGTTGCCGGCTGGGGGTCCGGGTTTGTCTAAGGAGAGATGAAAAGGGGCCGGCATTCAGCAAAAAGAACCGAAGGAGGAGAGGAAACGTTTCAAACGCGAGAAAAGGAGCAATGTTGTCAGAATACCGAGGATTTCGACCGCAATCGAGGCGGTCGCTGAGCCCAAGCTGTTTTTTATCTTGATCTCATACGAGCCGGTGTGTCGGCGGGTCGCATCCTTGATCAGGATGGCCGCCGAATCGGTTGTGTTTTCCACACACAAGGAAGAAGAAGCGACAAGCTCCTTTCCATTTTTGAGCCACTCAATCCTTGGCTGAGGTTTGGCGATGATTCCCACTCTGATTTTCACGGAAGTTCCGGCTTTGTACTGAACCACATCCAGATACTCTGGAGGAAGGTCAATGGCTGGAGCACCTGCACAACAAAGTATTGACAACGTTCACGACGCCTCGCGTGTTTCTTCACACGTCCAATGACGGCGGCCCAAGAAGGAATGAACGCGAGCGCTCACCGTGTGCATCGATACAAGTGACCGGGCCGGCAATTAGGGAAGGGTTACTGACAGAGCCGACGGCATTCTTTGCAAACACCCTGAACTCGTAAGACTCGTCCTGGTTCAGCCCAGACACCGTGAAGGCCATCTCCAGGATATTGGTGAAGTTGGCCTTCACCCATCTGCCACTGGCTGCTTCCCTCCTTTCCACACTGTAGCCGGTGATCTTACTGCCACCGTCGTACGGTGGCCTCTGCCAGGAGAGGCTGACTGAGTTCTTTGTGACTTCGGTGACGTGGACGTTTGCGGGAGGCTCTGTTGTGGGGAAGACAGAAGGGCGCCAGATTACGCCACGGGCAAACGGAAGCCCCGACCATACGAACGCGAAGTACTACTCACCACATGCGTCAATAGCCAGCACCTCTTCGGACGTCTTGCTCATCTTTCCGATGCCGGCGGCATTTTCAGCTGCCACCTTAAACTCGTAGATGAGACCCGGGCAGATGTTGGTGACCCGGAACTGGTTTCCCGGTATTGCTGTTTTATTGATCTTTTGCCAGAGGATGCTGCTCCGTTCCTTCATCTGAAGGTGGTATCCGGTCACGGGATTGCCGCCGTCGCTGACCGGTTCGTTCCAGCAGACGGTCACGTTATCTCTACACACAAAACTAACCCAAGGGGTGGACGGAGGTCCGGGGAAGGCTGGAATTCAAACGATAGAATTGGAGTTAATGGCGCATTTGAAACAGTGAATCGGTCAAGGCTAAGTCATCGACGAAGCCCCGTTGACTTACTGAATGGAAGCTTGATCGTAACTGGCTTGCTGTCAATGTGGTCGCTGACACCGTAGCGGTTCTGAGCCTTAATTCTGAACTGATATTCCTCCCCTTTGGTCAGCTTCGTCGCCTTGATTTCGCTTCTCGCAATGTTAGTCGACACCTCTGTCCAGGCAGGAGTGCTCGTTTCCCGTTTCAGGAGGACATAATTGGTCACGGGACTGCCACCATCATACGCTGGCGCAGCCCATTTCAAGTGCACTGTAGTTTCTCCAACCTCCCCGATCTCCACAGGTCCAACAGGGGGTCCGGGTCTATCCAGTACAATGAAGTTCATGTAGATCTTGGTGGCACCGCCGGGGTTGGAGGCGGTTACTTCGTATTTTCCTGCGTCACTGGCCACGCTTTCATTCAGGGTGATCGTTAAGCTGTCGGGGGTGACTTCGGTCAGTAGTCTTTTGGATCCCTTGATGACAACATTGTTCTTGGACAGAGTCACTTTAGGCATCGGCTTGCCAGTCAGTGGTAGGTCAAAGGTCAGGTCGGATCCAGCTCTGACGTAAACCGTATTCTTGGGGTAGTTCTTCAAATCAAACTCAGGAGCTTCTGTTGAAATTCAAGCAAGACTTGGATGAGCAATGCAAGGCAAACTTCAAGAAAACGGAACGTGGAAAGCAAAAGTGCCGTCCTTTTTACTGCCGAGACTTGGCGTCACATGTACATTCACAATATAGGGTTGCACCGATCGCCGCGCCGCGGTTTGCTGTCGATTGCGAAACATTTCCGACATTCACAGAGACATAAGGTAACGTACCGTGAACTTCCTTGACGATAACCGGCACAATCATCTCTTTTGGTTCGCTTAGTCCAGCGTGGTTCTCAGCTCGCACTCTGAAGAAGTACTCGGCGCCTTCTCTCAGGCTTTTTATCGTGTGGCTCGTGGTCCTCACTGTGGCGCACTTGACCCATTTGGTCATGCCCTTCTCCAGAGCATCGATGAGGTAACCCTTCACTCGACTGCCACCGTCATACTCGGGACGTGTCCAGGCAATTGTCACGCTGTCTTTTGTGACGTTTGCGACTCCGAGTTTCGCGGGGACGCTTGGCACCTCTGTGACACAGAAGCGGACCATTGAAAAGAGAGTTGGCGCGCATCGTGAAGTGAAAAGTGACCTGACTGAACCTTACCTGTTATTTTTGTGCCAGCTTTCGCCTCCTGCGGTACTCCCAGTCCATGTTCGTTCTCTCCGATGACTCTAAAGTAATAGACGGCTCCTTCCAGCAGATCTTCCGCTTTGTACGTCAAAGCGTGGCAGTTGGTTGTGACAGAGACCCAGGACTTTTTACTGGCCTCGCGCTTTTCAACGTGGTAGGCCTTCACTGCATCGCCGCCATCGTTCTCAGGAGCTTCCCAAGCGAGGGTTGCGGAGTCCCTGGTTACTGCCGAAACTTTGACATTGACCGGGGGTCCGGGAGAGTCAAGCACCTTGACAACTAAGGGTAATGTTGCTTTTCCTAACGGGGATTCAATACTGACACAATATTCCCCCGAGTCATTTCTTGTCGACTTTTCGATTGTCAGTGAAGTGCTGGAGTTTGTTGAATCGATTGTTCCTCTGACCTTCAGGTCTGTGCCCTCCTTGGCCCACTGCACCGAGGGAAGGGGTTTACCTTTGAATGGAACGTTGAGGGTAAAGGCTGCGCCGCGCTGAACCACAAGGACTTTGCGCATCTCGATGTCCACATTGAACGCCGGCTCTGCAGTTCTTTCCACCGCCAAAGCCACATCAGAACAGCGGCTGCGGGGACTTCTGCCCACTTTATTTATGGCTTGGACACAGAATTCATATTCCGTCTCAGATTTGAGTCCGCTGACTGTGAACTCCAAGCTTTTGGTAAGCGAAATGGCTTCAACCCATCTCTGCAGTTCTTCTGGTGACTCTGGTTCCTCCTTTTCCCCTTCTTCATATTCCCCGTCATCTTCCGCCACCGCCGGTACTGGTTTGCGAACGTGGGACCTGTATTCTACACTATATCCAAGAACGGGAGCGCCTCCGTTATCACTAGGTGGTTTCCAAGCAATGGACACACTGTCCTTGGTTGAATTCACAATCTTGGGCTTGGACGGAGAAACGGGAACGGCCAGAGGATCGACCGCTCTGAACGAAGCGGAGGTTTCACTCGGAGGGCTCAGCCCAGCGGCATTTTCAGCATAGACCCTGAAGTCATACTCGCACCCCTGACGCAGTTTGGTCGCTACCGTCGTACATTCGGCGACTGCGTCTCGATTGACACGGATCCAGTGCATGCCGGTCTTCTCCCGGCGCTCAATCACGTAGCCGGTGATGGGACTCCCTCCGTCACTCATCGGTTTGCACCACGTGAGGGTCATTGAGTCTCCAGTGATGTCGGTGACGTCAACGTTGAGGGGAGCTGTGGCAAAAGTGTACGGGTCGGTGACCTTGACAGGCTCACTCTCCAAAGCCTCACCGCTTCCATGCTTGTTCATGGCCAAAACCCGGAAGGTGTATTCATTGCCCTTCAGCAGTCCTCTGACGGTAAAGTAGGTTTTGGTGACGTTGTCCTTCACTAGTGTCCAGGCCAAGCGGCTAGTCTCGCGCTTCTCAACAACATAGTGTGTGATCTCAGCACCACCTGGCTCCTGAGGCGGACCCCATGACAGAGTGCATTCCTCAGCCGTGAGACCTGTGATCTGGAGAGGTCCCGCCGGGGGGCCTGATTTATCCAGGATCACGCAATTGATTGGCATGCTAACTGTCCCAGCAATGTTCTGTAGCGTGAGTAAGTATTGGCCCGAATCTCTTCTGATACAGTCTTTCACAATCACCGAGGTACTGGTATCCGTGGAAATGACCTGGATTCTGGCTCTGAGCACAATCTCGCTGCCGTCTTTGCTCCAGGCAACGACGGGCGCAGGGCGGCCTCCGATGTCGGCATGAATTTTCAAAGTTTCTCCTGCTTTCACAAATACTGTTTCTCTGTATTTGACATCCATCATAATCCGCGGCAGCTCCACATCGTCCTTGACTGTGACGGGCCCAGTGTTTTCGGAGGGTTCGCTGAACAATCCCACCGCGTTCTTGGCGATCACGCGGAAGTCATATTGGCTGTCCTCTGTCAGGCCCGTCACCTGGTAGTGAGTCTCAGGCACATTGGTGAAATTGCACCTTGTCCAGCGACCTTCTGGAAGATCCCGATGTTCAACGATGTACCCGGAAACCTTGGCGCCTCCGTCATACTCTGGTTTGTCCCACGACAAGGACACGGATGTTCGGCTCACAGCGGTGACAACGGGGGTTCCCGGAGGATCGCACGGATCTCTCGCCGCGACGGCTTCGGAGGGCTTACTGCATTTACCGATGCCAGCGACATTTTCAGCGTAGACGCGATATTCATACAGCACACCGTCGTCTATTCCGCTGACTTTGTATTCGGTATCCTTGATCATTCCTCGGTTCAACTTGGTCCAGAGAATGCTGGCGCGCTCCTTCCGCTCGAGGTGATAGCCAAGAACGGAACTTCCCCCGTCATTGACAGGCTCGTTCCAGGTCACCACCATATAAGACTTGGTGGCAATCTTAACTGCTGGTGTGGACGGGGGTCCGGGTTGCTTAAAGTTGTATTGCGCTGTAATCGCGGGAGAATCCAAATGCGCGCTCTTTCCGTAGCGGTTGACTGCATAGATGCGGAATTGGTATTCCGCCCCGTGCGTCAGGCGGCCGGCCTTGTAAGCGGTTCTGGCCACGCTGCTTGCCGCCATTTGCCACTCTTGCGTGGTGGTGTCTCTCTTCTCGACGATATAGTTGCTGATGGAGCAGCCGCCATCGTAATCCGGTGGAGACCAGGAAAGCGTGATGGCGTCAGAGGTCACGGCCTCCACCCGAATGCTCGTCGGCGGACTCGGCTTATCCAGGACAACTACGCCGAGTTGCGAGGTGACCGTTCCGGCAGTGTTGGCCAGGGTGATCTCATACTTTCCGACATGCTCCCTGGCGGCCTGTTTAATGAGAATCTTGGATGAGGTCGCCGTGTTTAAGATTGTAACCGAAGGGGTTTGCTTCACAGGAAGACCGTCCCTCTTCCATGAGACGACAGGCTTCGGCCTGCCTCTCAATGGAACCTCGATGGCCAGGTCATCTCCGGCCTTGACGCTGTATGTTGTGAATAACAAGTTGACCGATGGCTCAATCGCCACATCCTTTGCGACCACGGGCAAACCGAGCTCCTTCGGCTCACTCTTTCCCTTCTCGTTGATTGCCACAACTCTGAACAGATAGGTTTCGTTGGGAGTCAGGTTAGGAACGGTTGCCTCTCTCACCTTGACTGTGCTGGCCGTGCCCCATTTTTCACCGGTCTTGGGCTTGAATTCCACGTTGTAGCAGATGACCTTACTGCCACCATCGTGTGCGGGTTTGTCCCATGAGAGTGAAACGCTGCTTTTCGTCACATCAACCACGGTTAAATTGCTTGGCGGCAGGGGCACCTCAGACACTTTGATTTCTTTGGTTTCGACCATCACTCCTTGGCCGTACTCATTCACGGCACAAACCCTGAAGTAGAAAATGCCACCCTCTGGCAACTCTTTGATCAGGAATGTGTTGGCTGTGCAGTTGCTGGTGACAGTCGTGTAGGCCTTACGCACAGACTCCCTCTTCTCAACGATGTAGTTGGTGATTTTAGACCCACCGTCGGTGAGTGGCGTCTCCCAGGCAAGCCTCACCGAATCCTTTTTGAGATCCTTCACTGTCAAGTTCTGCGGTGCGCTTGGAGTGTCCAAAATTCTGACGGAGACAACGGCAGACTTTGAGCCACTGCTGTTCTCCAAGGTGAGCGAGTATTTGCCACTGTCCCACCGGTTCACGTTGTCAATCACAACCATGGTGTATGAGCTGGTGGTGTCAATTACGGCCCGACCTGTGAGAGTACCGTCAATTTTTTCCCATTTTACAGACGGCTCTGGCCTTCCTCTGATGGTGACAAACAGACGCAATGTACCACCAGCACGTACAGACACCACCTTTCTGAGATCAGCATCAAGTTCAATCTCCGGTGCTTCGAGCCTGTCCACAGCAACCACCGTGCCGTGGACGTAAGCGGCCTCGCCCACTCCCTCTGAGTTTATGGCGCAGACACGGAACTGATATTCTTCAGATTCTTTTAGGTCCGTGACAGTCAGTTTAGTAGCCTGAATGCCGGAGGGCGGCGTGCATACGGCCCACTCTTTTTCGACCGGTGTGTCCACTGCCGGGGCAAATTCTACTTCCTCTTTTGATTCTGGAACTGGTGTGTGCTCTCGCATTTCCACTATGTAGCCCTTGATATAGGCACCGCCATCAAAGTCAGGCTTGCCCCAGGAAAGTGAGACGGAGGACTTTGTGTAGTCCGTCACCTTGGGATGGTGTGGGGGCCCTGGGGGTTTTGTGGCATCGCAAGCTCTGTAAAGTAGGGACAGTTCACTGAGGTCTCCAACTCCAGCCTCGTTCTCAGCTGCAACGCGGAACTCATAAAAGCGATCAGCCATCAGTCCCGTCACTTTGAAGTGAGTGTCTGTCAGTTTTTGCCTGTTGCACTTCGTCCACCGGACACTGTCCTTGTCACGTTTCTCCAGGTGATAGCCTGCTATGTCTGCCCCACCGGTCTGTTCTGGAGCCGACCACGACAGAACTATGGAATCTTTTGTGATCCGACTTGCCTCTGGTGTTCCCGGAGCGCTAGGCGGTTTGTAGGGATTGCGTGCGACGATGGGCTCGCTCTCAAGACTATCACCAACGCCATACTTGTTAACAGCCTTGACTCTCAAAATGTATTCGTTCCCTGCGAGAAGGTTTGTAAGCTTGTAATAGAGACCCTGAATATTGGCGGCAGCCACTGTCCAGGATAGACTGCTGGTCTCTCGCTTCTCCAGGATATAGCGAGTGATGTTAGCACCACCATCCAGGGATGGCTCAGACCAGGCGAGGGTACATCTGTCAGCCATGATTCCTGTCACCTTCAAGGGTCCTGTGGGTTTTCCTGGTTTGTCAAGGACTTTGACTGTGATGGGGAAGATTTTTGTGCCACCCGGGTTTTTGAGCACAAGTTCATAGTGCCCACTGTCCAATTTGGTCACGTCCTTAATAGTCATGGCAGCACATTTGGTCGTGTTTTTCACTTCGATGCGCAGAGCTCTGTCCATTTCCTTGCCTTCCTTGAGCCAGACCACATCAGGAATTGGTTTTCCGTGGATGTCGGCCTCAAGAGTTAAATGCTCTCCAGCATTGACAACAATAACATCCTTGTACTTGGGGTCCATCGAGGCCCTCGGTGGCTCAATTTCATCGGTCGCGGTTATAGGTCCAGAGCTGTCAGAGGGCTGGCTGAAGACGCCGGCTGCATTTCTGGCAATAACCCGGAATTCATATTGCTCGTTTTCTGTCAGACCGCTGATGTCATACTCGGTCTCCATGATGTTTGTAAAGTTTTCTCTGACCCAACGCCCGTCAGGGGAGGCGAGGTCTCTCTTTTCGACAATGTAGCCATTGACTTTGCTGCCGCCATCATACTGAGGCTTTGTCCACCTGATCTTTATGAAGGTTTTAGAAATAGCGACAGCCTCTGGAGCACCAGGCGGGTCACATGGATCACGAGCGACAAAGGACTCTGAGGCTTTACTGCATCTGCCGACGCCCACGATATTTTCAGCATAAACTCGGAACTCGTATCCAATTCCTTCTTCCAGATTACAGATCTTGAACTGAGTGTCGGCGATGAGCGTCTTGTTCAGTTTGTTCCACAGGATACTGGTCCTCTCTTTGCTCTCTACGTGGTATCCGATCACAGCACTTCCCCCGTCGATGACGGGCTCGTTCCATTCGATGAGCATCATCTCCTTGGTTGCAGATTTGACGTGCGGTGTCCCGGGGGGGCCTGGTGGTTTATATGGGTACTGTATAACAATCGCCTTGGAGTCCAGAGGGGGGCCTTTTCCGTATCGGTTTTCAGCCATGACCCTGAACTGGTATTCTGCACCCGTTTTCAACTTGGTCACTTTGAAAGCTGTCCTAGCTAGCTGTGTGGTGACCGGCTGCCACGTATTGCCAGTGGTCTCTCGCTTTTCTATGATATAATGCTTCACCTGGCATCCACCCTTGTACTCTGGGGGCTCCCATGAGAGGTGGACAAAGGTGTTACTCACCTCAACAACTTTCAGTGGACCACTCGGTGGACCTGGCTTATCAAGAATAATTATGTCCACGTGAGCAATGAACGTGCCCACCGCGTTGCTTGCCGTAATGGAGTACTTTCCAAAATCCTCCTTGCACGCTTCAGTGATCTGAATACCGGTCGTTGTAAGAGTGTTCACGATGTTGACTCTGGAGGTCACCTTCAGAACCTGACCATCCTTTGTCCAGGTGACTCTAGGTTTGGGCCTGCCAAGCACAGGAAATGCCAAGGTCAGCTCTTTTCCTGCTAGCACGCTGTAAGTGTCGAACTGCATTTGAATGCTTGGATCCAAGGTCATGTCGCTGGCAACAACGGGTGCCACAAGTGCCTTTGGCTCACTCTTTCCCTTCTCGTTGTAGGCAATAACACGGAGCAGATATTCCATACCGCTCGTGAGGCCTGCGACAGTGCCCTCGCATGTCTTTGTGTTTGCAGCAACACCCCACTTATCTGTCCCCTTGGCCTGCATCTCAATGAGGTAGCCGGCAATCCTGCTACCTCCGTCATGCTCAGGTTTTTCCCAGGCCAGTGACACGCTGGCTTTGGTGACGTCGACCAGGGAGACGTTCCCGACGGGGAGCGGTACCTCGGACGCCTTTGAAGCCGTCTTGGTTTCATTTGCCTGGCCGACACCGTATTCATTCTCAGCCATGACTCTGAAGTAATACAGGGCACCCTCGATCAAGTTCCCAACCTTGAATGTTGTCGTCGTACATTTGGTCGAGACATTTGCATAGGCCTTCCGGGTCGATTCACGCTTGTCAATGACGTAGTTCTTAATTTTAGAACCTCCATCGATTAGAGGTGCATCCCAACCGAGAGTGATCGAGTCCTTCTTGATGTCTTTCACTACAAGGTTTTGCGGGGGTCCAGGCGTATCAAGGACTTTAACAGTAACAAACTCTGACACGGACCCACTGCTGTTGGTCAGGGTCAGAGTGTATTTTCCTGAATCGCATCTGTCACAAGAGTCAATGGACAGCTGCGTGAAGACAAGACCCTTTTCCACCAACGCCTTTTCGGTTAGGTTTGTCTCATCCTTAAGCCACTTAATCTCGGGCGTTGGTCTGCCCTTGAATGGGACGTGGATCCGAACCGATCCCCCGGCCTTCACGGATATTCCCTTCCTCAGCTCGGAATCCAAGTGGATCTGCGGTGGCTCATGCCGTTCCTCTGGTTTCGCGGTTCCTGCAAGAACGGCTGGCTCACCAACTCCAAGTTTGTTCAGAGCGCACACCTGGATCTTATATTCCTGACTCTCTGTCAGCTTGGGGATCTCATATTTGTTAACACGCAAGCCGGTGGGGGGAGTAACCATGGTCCATTCTTCTTGCTCAGCCTTGCAGACTTCAACAATATATCCCAGAATGGCGCTGCCACCGTCAGACAATGGCTTGCCCCACGACACCGTGATTGAGCTCCGTGTGGAGTCGACGACGTTGACGTATGCAGGGCACCCGGGTTTGTATTTAGGATCGCAAGCCTTACAGTACGAGCTCGGTAGACTGGGCTCTCCCAAGCCGACGACATTCTCAGCAGCCACTCTGAACTCGTACTCATGGCCGGTGGTTAGGCCTGTCACTCTGAAGGAAAGGTCGGTGACTTTCTGTCTGTTGCATCTGGTCCACTTAATTCCCGCTCTATCCTTCTTTTCAACAACGTAATTAGTAATTGCACTGTCACCGTCAGACTCCGGGGCAGTCCAAGCGACAGTCATGCCGTCATGGGTAATGTCGGTTACGTCCTCAATGTGAGGTGGACCAGGAACAACAAACGGTGTCTTCATGATGACCGCACCAGACTCCAAGGGGCTGCTCGCGCCATAATTGTTGACCGCCATAACACGGAACGTGTACTCGTTACCTTCCAACAAGTTGGTGACTTTGTAGCATGTGGTGGTGCAGCTGGAAGAAACAACAGTCCAAGCCAGACGGCCGGTCTCTCTTCTTTCAATGACGTAATGCGTGATGGGATTCCCCCCGTCGTGTAAAGGAGCGCGCCACACTAACGAGCATCTATCCTCGGCTACGCCAGCTACGTGAAGGGGTCCCTCGCAGGGGCTCGGTTTGTCCAAGACCAACACTTTGAAAGGCACAGTTTCCGTGCCTGCCTCGTTGCTTAGCTGGAGTGCGTACATTCCACTGTCGGCTCTCGTACAGTCCTTAATGACAACGAGCGCATGAGTTTCTGTATTTCTTAAGTCAAGCCTGAGCGTATTTTCGAGTGGAGCGTCATCCTTGAACCACTGCATTGCCGGCGGTGGTTTCCCACGAACATCTGCGTCCAGTTTGAACGTCTCCCCAGCATTGATGACGACGGTCTTCGTGAATGCAGGGTCAACGGAGAACTGAGGAGCCTCAATGCTGTCGCTCGCAGCGATTGGCCCGCTGTTGAACGATGGCTTGCTGACAGTGCCGACGGCATTTTTGGCCACGACTCTGAAGTCATATTTGGAATTTTCCGTGAGGCCAGTGGCCGTGAACTGGGTCTCAATCACATTGGTGAAGTTTGCCTTGACCCAACGGCCTTCTGGCAAGTCACGCCTTTCCACAAGGTAGCCGGTGATGTGACTGCCACCATCATATTCCGGTTTAGTCCACTGGATAGTAATGGCATCTTTGGTCACGTGGATAGCTTCCGGTGTACCGGGAGGATCGCACGGGTCTCTGGCCACGCAACCCTCTGAAACCTTACTCCACCGTCCGATGCCCACGATATTTTCAGCGGACACCCTGTATTCATACTCGGTGGCTTCCTCTAAGGGGTGGCTCTTGTAACTCGTCTCATGAATGAGCGTCTTGTTAATCTTGACCCACAAAATACTATTCCTCTCCTTTCTTTCGAGATGGTAGCCGAGGACCGGACTGCCCCCGTCCGAGATGGGCTCGTGCCACTCCACCATCTGGTGATCTCTTGAGAGAGAGGAGATGAATGGCGTGCCCGGCGGGCCAGGTTCTCTGTATGGGTACTGAGCAACGACAGGAGACGAATCGAGGCCATGACTCTTCCCGTACCGGTTTTGAGCAATGATCCTGAACTGGTACTCGGCTCCAGTCTTCAACCTGGGCACTTTGATTGTGGTTCTGGCACAGTTATTATTGACATTTTCCCATGTTGTCGTTACGGTCTCTCTTTTTTGCACAATGTAGTTTGAAATCTGACAACCGCCATTGTGTTTTGGTGGATCCCATGAAATGGTCACGCTACTCGTTGTAATTTCATCAAATCTCACTGGGCCAGACGGGGCGCCAGGCTTGTCAAGTACTATGACCTCAATGGTGGCTTCTTTCTTTCCAGCGGAGTTAGCGGCACTGACGCAGTACATGCCTCCGTCGTCACCTGCTGCCTCCTTAATGCTCAGACTTGCATGAGTCTGAGTGCTGTGGGTGTTCACTCTGGTGGTGAACTTCAAAGGTGCTCCATCTTTCGTCCAAGCCAGTGCTGGTTTGGGGCGTCCAAAGATCGGCACTTCAATTTTTAGATCTTTACCGACATGGACGCTGTAGCTGCTAAAAGTAGGCCGAACATCGGGCTCAAACGTCAAGTTCTTTGCAATGACGTGGCCAGAGAGGACTCTGGGGTCACTTTTGCCCTTGTCGTTTAGTGCGAAAACTCGGAACAAGTATTCCTCCCCTGGGTTGAGATTGCAAACGGTCGCCTCCATTGTTTTGTATGTGTTAACCCCAGACCACTTCTCTTGGCCCTTAAGCTGTACCTCAAGCAAGTACTGGATGACTCTGCTTCCGCCGTCATATTCTGGACTTTCCCAGGCCAGAGAGATGCTTGTATTTGTTTGATCTGTAACAGTCAAGCTCCTGGGAGCCTGCGGCACCTCCGAGACCTTGAGGGGGTCAACGGTCACGGCGGGCAGCCCAATACCATACGCATTCTCGGCAAGAACTCTGAAGTAATAACTGCAACCCTCCTGCAGTGGCTCAATCTTCCACGACAGAGCATGGCAATTTGTTACCACGGCAGCATACGTTTTGCGGGTGCTCTCTCTCTTTTCCACAATGTAGTTTTTGATTTTGGATCCACCGTCCAAAAGAGGTACTTCCCAAGCGAGGGTCACGGACTGGCTTGTAATTTCTTTCACGGTCAGCTTTCCAGGCGCGCTCGGTGTGTCCAGAACCCGAACGACGACAAATGCAGATTTGGTTCCACTCGAATTCTCGGCAGTGATTGTGTATTTCCCACTATCGGCTCTGTTCATCTGGTCGATCACGAGGGCCGTATAACTGCTGGTCACTTCAACTTGAGCCTTCTCCTGAAGTGGAGCATCGTCTTTGTCCCACTTAATGCTTGGGGTGGGTCTTCCCTTGATTGGAATAAAGAGTCTCAGTGAAAGTCCGGCCTTAATTGTCACAATCTTTCTCAGTTCCGGGTCGATGTCAAGGTCCGGTTCATCCGCTCTGTCCTGGGTAACAACTGCTCCGGCGACATCGGCATGTTCGCCAATCCCAACCTTGTTGCTAGCGCACACTCTAAATTTGTAAGCTTGATTTTCTTTCAGGTTTAAAACCTCAAACTTGGTCTTTCTGACACCTGTTGGCGGCGTGCACGTCAGCCAATCCTCTGCAGGCGCATCTGGGCCAGGCACCTCTGCAGCCGGAGCGTCAATCTGCGCCTCGGCGGCTGCGACTTGCCCCGTGGAGGCGCAGCACTCCACGATGTATCCCTGGATCTCTGAGCCACCGTCAAAGAGAGGCTTGCTCCATGACAGAAACACTGAAGATTTGGTTGTGTCGATAACTCTGGGGTTCTGTGGCGGGCCGGGCCTGAAGACAGGATCAAGGGCTTTGTAGTATACCGTCGGTGAAGTCGGCTCGCCGACACCCACAGAATTCTCTGCTGCAACCCTAAATTCGTAACTGTGGCTTTCCAGGAGCCCCGTGACCTTGAAAGTCAAATCTAACACGGCTTGCCTGTTGCACCGAATCCACCGGACACCTTCTTTGTCATGCTTTTCAATGACGTATGTGGTGATGGGACTGCCTCCATCCTCATTGGGAGCCTCCCATGTGAGCACCATCGAATCCTTTTTCACATCTGCAATCTCTAAGCCTTTGGGCGATCCAGGGGCTGTGTAAGGATCTTTGATAATGACTGGCTCAGATACAAGCGGCGCACTACTACCAAATTCATTGATAGCATGCACTCTGAAGATGTACTCATTTCCTTCCAGAAGCTTTGTGACCTTGTGGCAGGTGTTCAGTACTTTTGGATCCACAATAGTCCAGATGAGTCTGCTGGTTTCTCTCCTCTCCACGCTGTAGTGGGATATTTTGCTACCTCCGTCTTGTATCGGGGCTTTCCATGAAAGACAGCATTGGTCTTTTGTGATATCTGTGACAGTCAGTGGCCCTTGCGGTTCGCCGGGTTTATCCAAAACGACCACATTCACCTGTACAGCCTTTTCTCCTCCTGGATTTCTCAGCAGCAGAGTATAGGCGCCGCCGTCGGAAAGTTTCGCTTCCTTGATAGCGACGCAGGCATAGGTTGCTGTGTTCTTAATCTCTCTGTGGATTGTGTTTCCCATTTCCTGCTCTCCTTTCAGCCAGGTGATGGAGGGCAAAGGTTTGCCGTGGACATTTGCGTCAATCCTAAAATTGTCTCCGGCTTTCACCACAACGGCCTGCGTGTACTCTGGGTCAATGCTGATACGAGGGGGCTCAATCTCATCCCTGGCTGTGATGGGGCCGGTGCTATAAGAGGGGAGACTGAAAACACCGGCGGCATTCCTGGCAATAACGCGGAACTCATACTGTTGATCCTGCACGAGTCCAGTTGCGACATATTCTGTCTCTAGGATATTAGTGAAGTTAGCCTTCAACCAGCGGCCTTCGGGAAGCTCCTTCTTCTCCACTGTGTAGCCTGTGATCTTGGCACCACCGTCATACTCTGGCTTTGTCCAAGCGATGTCAACCGAATCCCTCGTAATCCGGGTTGCCTCAGGTGTACCTGGAGGGTCGCAAGGATCTCTGGCGACGTGACCTTCTGACACCTTGCTGACTTTGCCGATGCCCACAATGTTTTCGGCATAAACTCTGTACTCATACTCCATTCCTGGTTCGAGGCCCGTGGTCTTGAAGGTTTGGTCCCTAATGAGTGATTTGTTCAGTTTGACCCAGAGGATGCTGGTTCTCTCCTTGCGCTCCAGATGGTAGCCCAAGATAGCACTGCCTCCGTCGTTGACAGGTTCATTCCATGCCACCACCATGCTGTCCTTTGTGCACATTGCAATGGAGGGTGTTCCTGGTGGTCCTGGAAGCTTGAATGGATACTGAATCACAATGGTCTCCGACTGAAGAACCGGGCCCTTGCCGTATCTGTTCTCTGCTGCGATCCTAAATTGGTATTCTGAGCCAGTCTTCAATCGGCCTGCTTTGACTTTGGTCCTTGCCAGTTTTGGCGACACCATCATCCAGTGAGTTGTGGACGTGTCTCTCTTTTCCACAATGTAGTTTTTGATTGTGCACCCGCCGTCATACGCCGGTGGGCTCCAGGAAATGGTCACGCTGTCAGACGTGACCTCTTCGACTTGAACTGGACCACCTGGCTGGCCAGGCTTGTCCAGCACGACGACGTTGATGTCTGCCGTCGACTCGCCCGCTGCGTTGCCAACGGTAACGTGATAATGTCCAAAGTCATCTTTGGAAGCCTCTTTTATGCTTAGGTTTAACATCGCGTCCGTCGCACCAAAGTTTACTCTGGTCGTTCTCTTGAGTGGCTGTCCGTCTTTGAGCCAGGAGACAGCTGCTTTGGGACGGGCGACGTAAGGAACCTCGACTGTCAGATCTTCACCTGCCAACACGCTGAATGTGCTGAACAACATTTTGACAGCGGGTGAAATGACAAGGTCCTTCACAATGACAGGCACGCCTATTTGTCGAGGGTCACTTGTTCCCTTGTCGTTTCTCGCCGCGACGCGGAACATGTATTCTTCACCGGCATTGAGGCCACCAACGGAGGCTTCCGTTTCTTTCACGATCACAGCCTGTGTCCACTTCTCCACACCCTTAGGTTGGACCTCCACAACGTAACAGCCGATTCTGCTTCCGCCGTCATGCTCCGGCTTTTCCCACGAGAGTGTGACACTATTCTTCGTAACGTCCTTCAGACTGATTTTGCCCGGAGGCTGGGGTTTCTCGGAGACTTTAACTGACTCGCCGGTCTCAATAGGCAGGCCAATGCCGTATTCGTTCTCTGCCAAAACTCTGAAGTAATAGTTGCATCCTTCCAGGAGCTGCTCGACAGTAAAGGTGGTGTGATGGCACATGGTGCTGACTGTGGCGTAAGCCTTCCTTGTGGACTCGCGCTTTTCAACGATGTAGTTCTTCACCTTAGCCCCCCCGTCGTTTGCCGGCGGGTCCCAAGTTAGAGTGACCGACCGATTTGTCACACCGTCAATCTTTAGATTCTGCGGAGCACCGGGCGTGTCGAGAACCCTGACTTGGACTGTGACTGTCTTCGAGCCAGAGCTGTTCTCCACCGTCAGGTTATACTTTCCAGTGTCAAATCTGTTGACATTTCCAATGACGAGGGACGTGTACGACGTGGTGGTGTCAATTGTGGCTCTCTCGACGGGTTCGCCATCCTCTTTGGTCCACTTAGCCTGGGGAGCGGGCCTGCCTCTGATAGGAACAAACAGTCTAAGTGTGCAGCGAGCTCGGAGGGTGACCACCTTGCAGAGTTCTGCGTCCAAATCGAGGTCTGGGGGGAGGAGTCTGTCCTCGGCCTTGGCGTTGCCGGGTACGGATGCGGGTTCGCCAATTCCTTCGCCGTTAACAGCAGAGATGTTGATTTTATACTCCTGACCCTCGGTCAGATTGACGATTGTGAATGAGGTGGCGAGGAGTCCTTCCTTTGGGGTCACAATTGTCCACTCCTCCTCCTCCTCCTTGTCTGAGGGGATACACTTCTCAACAAGGTAACCAGTGATGTCAGAGCCTCCATCATAGGCCGGTTTGTTCCAGGCCACGGTAATAGATGACTTGGTCGTGTCCAGGATTCTGGGGTTGCACGGAGGCCCCGGTTTGTACAAGGTGTCGGTGGCCTTGTAGAACGGACTGGAGAGGCTCGGTGCACTGAGACCGGCGGCATTCTCCGCAATGATCCTAAATTCATATTCATGGCCAACAATCAGACTTGTTGCCTTGAATTGCAGATCTTGCACCTTCCTCTTGTTGCACTTGACCCAGCGGTGGCCTGCCCGGTCTTTCCTTTCAATGTTGTAGTTTGTGATTGGTGTTCCACCATCACTCTTTGGCGCCTGCCACACAACGACCATTGAATCTTTGGTGACAGCAGTGACCTGGGGATTCTCAGGCGCATCGGGAACCTTGTAGGGATTCTCAGCAAGAATGGGCTCTGACTCAAGAGGTTCACCCGAACCAAATCTGTTCACGGCCATAACTCTGAAGATGTACTCGTTTCCTTGAAGAAGCTTGGTCACTTTATACTCTGTCGCCTGCAGGTCTGAAGCAACGTGTGTCCAAACAAGTCTGCTTGACTCCCGCTTCTCAACGACGTATCCTTCAATCTTGCCGCCACCGTCATCTAGCGGCGGGGCCCAAGTTAGTAAGCAATTGTCAGCTGTGACATTTGACACCCTCAGAGGTCCGAATGGTGGGCCGGGTCTATCCAGTACCTTCACTCTGAAGATGTGCTTGGAAATGCCACCGACGTTTGCGGCAGTCAAAACGAATTCCCCTCCATCGGATCTGACGGAGTCTTTGTTGCTCAGTGTGGTTGCCATTTCATTGAACTTCACGTCCAGTTTCAGTGTGTTCTCAACCTCTTTCCCATCCTTGGTCCAAACCATGGATGGGGTCGGTTGACCCGAAATGTCAGCTTCCAGCTTGAAGGACTCTCCCGCCCTCAGCAAAACCACATCCTTAAAGATGGCGTCCACCATGATGCGCGGCTCAACGATGCTATCCGTGCACGTGATGGGGTCAGAGGGCTCCGACGGTCCACTCACAGCTCCTGCCGAGTTTCTGGCCATGACACGGAACTCATACACCGCATCTTGAGTCAATCCGCTGACGGTGAACGTTGTCTCAATGATGTTAGTGAAGTTTGCTCGGATCCAGCGACCGGCGGGAAGTTCTCTCTTCTCCACCGTGTAGCCAGTGATTTTGAAGCCGCCATCGTACTCGGGCTTTGTCCACTTGATGGTGATCACATTTTTGGCAGTAAAAACAGGCACGGGTTGCCCCGGGGGATCCACGGGGTCCAAGGCCATTATCGCGTCGGAGGCTTTGCTGGGCTTGCCAATTCCAGCCATGTTTTCCGCCATCACGCGAAACTCGTAGGCGGCTCCGTCTTCAAGCCCGGTGGATTTGAGTACGTTTCCTTTCACAAGACCCTTGCTGATTTTTTGCCACATGATGCTGCTTCGCTCTTTTCTCTCCACGTGGTATCCGATGACTTCGTTTCCACCATCGGAAACGGGTTCATTCCAGCCAATTGTTATGGAGTCCTTGGTGAACGCCACAACATGCGGCGTGCCAGGCGGTCCGGGAACTTTGAACGGATAGGCAGCCACGACTGACTCCGAGGTTATGGGAGGTCCTGCGCCATATCGGTTCTTGGCCTTCACTCTGAACTGGTACTCTGAGCCAGTAGTTAAGCGCGTGGCTTTAAACGAGGTACGAATGGCCACGGAAGTCAGCTCCGTCCAAGTCTGCGTGGTGGTGTCTCTGATCTCAACCACGTAATTGGTAATTGGAACACCGCCGTCGTTCTCCGGAGCATCCCATGCAAAAACACAATAGTTACGAGATATTTCGGTCATCGTAATCGGTCCTTTGGGTGGGCCCGGAACATCGTGCACTTTGACAAAGATGTTGTCGATCGCAGAACCGACAATGTTCCTCGCGGTCACGGTATACACTCCGCTGTCCGCTCTGGTGCATTCACCGATGGCCAGGACAACCGTCGCGGCGGTCGTCTCCACGTTGGTCCTCTGGGTGAGCCTCAACGAGTTTCCGTCCTTCTGCCAGGTGACCGCCGGCCGGGGGCGCCCCATCACAGGAATTTCAACCCTGATGTTGTCTCCAGCTTTAGCGATGACAGTTGACTGACACACACCGCGCAGGTCAAACTCCGGCAGGGAGGTCGAATCCTTGACAATGATCGGCTTGCTCTCGCGTGGCGCGCTTCTTCCCGAGTGGTTGACCGCCATCACACGGAAGGTGTATTCTTCATTCTCATTGAGATTCTTCACCGTGAAGTCCATGTTCTTGAGGCTCGTGACGTGGGCCCACTGATCGGTTCCTCTCTTCTGGGCTTCGAGGACATATCCCGTTAGCCTGCTTCCGCCATCGTGCTTGGGTTTGGTCCAAGCCAGGCTCACAGAGTTCTTGGTGATGTCGGTTGGAATTAGGCTTTCTGGAGGACTCGGTGCCTGGGAGGCCCGAATAGGATCGGGAGTTTCAACGGCTTCACCGACGCCAAACTCGTTCTCGGCAGACACTCTGAAGTAGTATTCGCAGCCTTCGCCCAGATCGCCGATTTTGACCGAAGTCGTGGGACAGTTTGTCACAACGGTGGCAAAAGCCTTGCGAGTTGATTCTCTCTTTTCGATAATGTAATTTGTGATCCTGGCGCCGCCGTCGATGAGAGGCGTCTCCCACTGAAGGGCAATCGATTCCTGATCTATATGGACCGCTTTGAGGTTGAGAGGCGGCCCGGGGGAATCCAAAACTCTCACGTGAATGTTTGCCGTCTTCTTTCCAGCAGCGTTTTCGAGGGTGAGCTCATATTTACCGCCATCGATCCTCGCACTTTCGGGAACGATCAGCATTGTAAACGACTCGGTGCTGTCGATGACGGCACGCGGCACGGGACCGTTCTCCTTGGTCCAGGTCACGGTCGGCGTAGGGCGTCCCTTGATGGGCACAAAGAGGCGAATGGAACAACCGGCCCTGACGACAAGAGTCCTCCTGAGCTCCATGTCCAATTCCAAATCGGGTTCAGCCGCGCGCTCCGCGACCTCAACCAGATCGGCCGTTTCAGCAGGATCACCCGTGCCCTTAGCATTAACCGCGCTGATTCTGAAGTGGTATTTGCTGGCGTTTTCAAGGCCAGGAACAACAAACTCTGTGATTCTCAGCGCAGACGACGGCGTGTCCTTGACCCAGTCTTCTGTTCCTTCCTTTCTGTGCTCGATCACGTAACCGGTGACATCGAGCCCGCCATTATCCAGTGGTTTTCCCCAGTTAAGAGTGGCGGTGGTCTTGGTGGTGTCTGTAACCCTCGGATTTACTGGAGGTCCAGGAACATCTGCCAAAACCCCCAAAAGTCGGCTTTGAGCACACGTATCACACTGCAGATCAATACGTAACATCGATCGGCATTCTTGTTTGCTTGCAAATGGGTTTACTCACAGGTAGCGACGGCTGTTGTCACCGGCATCGACGCTTCACTCGGTTCTCCAAAGCCAGCTCTGTTCTCAGCAAGAACACGAAACTCATACTGCAAGCCTTCGGTCAGTCCGGTGACGACGTAGCTGAGCTCGGAAATGGAGTTCTTGGAGGCCCTGATCCACCTCATGGCCTTCTTCTCCTTCTTCTCGACACAATAACCGATGATCTCACTTCCGCCGTCTTCGGTGGGTCGTCTCCATGTCACCCGAGCCGAGTGCCCATCAACTTTGTCAACTTCCGGTTTCGATGGCGGACCGGGAGGACCTAAAACGTAAAGGTCACGTGGATGAAAAGCAAATCGCATTTTGTCGCACCTTCACTAAATGCGCCGAATCGGAGCTCTCGGGAGGCTGAACGGAGACCTACCAAATCTATCCACCATCTTGACAGGCTGAGAGTGAGCCGGCTCACTGCTGCCATACTGGTTCACAGCAGAGACTCTGAAGATATACTCGTTGTCCTGGATGAGTTTGGTGGCCACGTAATGACAGTCGATGACCTTCTCTTCCAGAATTGTCCAGAGAAGGCGACTCGTCTCCCTCTTCTCGAGCGTGTAGTACGTGATGGGAGAGCCTCCGTCCTCTGGAGAAGCGGCCCAGGTCAGCGTGACCTTCTCGGAGGAGATGCCGCTGCACTGAATGGGACCAGGAGCCGCGGGAACGTCCAGAACTTTGACCTTCACGGTTTCCTCCTTCACGCCAAAGGGATTGCTTGCTGTGATGACGTAGTCCCCGGAGTCCTTCCTCGTGGCGTATTTTATTGACAGAGTGGAGGAGGAGGCAGCGGTGTCGATATGAACTATGTCTGAGGGCTTCAAGTACTTTCCTCCTTTCGACCAGCAGGAGGTCGGAGCAGGCTTGCCAAGAATACTCGTGGCGGTGACCGCAATGGTTTCGCCGGCTCGGACGGTCACGCCGGCCTCCATCACCTGAGCATCGATGGTAATGGTTGGTGAAGCTTTTGGACGGAGAAAAGAAGCTGGATTAAAAACCGCGCCGCTTGGGTTCGGTAAGCAGGTGTGACAAAGGAAGCGAAGCAATTCACCATATTCGTCCACGCAGATAACGGTATCGGTCTGGTCAGAGGGTGGACTAAGGGCGCCGGCTGCATTCTTTGCTCGGATTCTGAACTCATATTTGCAGCCCTCCTGGAGAGCGGTGACCGTGTATGCGGGCTCCACAACATTCACGCTGTTGGCCTTGACCCAGATCTTAGAAGGAAGGTCACGTCTCTCCACGATGTATCCGGTCAGCCTGTGGCCACCGTCAAACTGTGGCTCGGCCCATTGAAGAGTCACGCTGCTTCTGGTGACGCTAATGACATCCGGTTTGCCCGGAGCATCTGAACACAAACGGGATCGTTAGTCGAGCAAAACCAACATTGCCGATCGCCAGTTGTTTCATTCATCGTGACGTCTTTCCCGCTTACCAATTGGATCAAATGCAACTTGTGGATCAGTGGGAGGACTTGGTCTGCCAATGCCAGCCAAGTTAATTGCCATGACCCTGAACTCGTACTCAAGGCCTTCGGTCAGCCCGGTTACTTTGTGTTCCTTCATTCTCAAGGCGGTCGGGCTTGACCTCTTCCACAACATACTATTCCTCTCCTTGAACTCGATGTGATACCCTGCGCATTGTTTTGGGGTGCAGGAGAGAGTGAGAGAGTCCTCATGAACGTAGGAATGCAAGAAGTGTAAGCCGAACCTTCACATTCAAATGACCTCAAGTACCACACATGTCCTGTATCGTAGCACAGGCTTAGCTCACACACACACACACACACACACCTGTGATGGGAGACCCGCCGGTCTTCCTGGGGTCGGACCAGGCCAGGTAAGCAGAGTCATGGCGCATACTTATGACCTGAGGTGGAGGAGGGGCGTCGGGAACATCTGGAGAAAATCGGCGCCGTTTGTATGCGGGAGGAAGCTGATGCTTAGGCAAGGCAAGAGCCAGTCGCAGCCACTTACTGAACGGATGTTTTGCGATCACGGGCTCCGACTTGAGCCCCTCGCCGACGCCGTACTTGTTCTCAGCGCAGACTCTGAAAATGTATTCCGTGCCCTCGTGGAGACCGGTGACCCTCATGGCGTTCTTGTCCACCGTGGAGGAAACGGTCACCCACATGTTGGTGACGGAGTCCCTCTTCTCGAGAATGTAGTTTGTGATCTCCGAGCCGCCGTCGTCTTTCGGCGCCGCCCACTTCAGCGTGGCGCCGTCGGCGGTCACGTCCTTGAACTTGATAGGTCCGACGGGGATGCCGGGCTTTCCCACCACCCTGAAAGGAAAAAATGCAGTTGTCGCAGGCGGGCTTGGAAGAGCACGAGCACGACAAAGCATCGCTAAAGGCATCAGATTGCAACCTGATGAAAATGGCGGACTCTTTGCTGCCAGCGCTGTTCCTCAGGGTGATGGTATATTTCGAGGCATCGCTCCTCTGGCAGTCCCTGATCAGGAGAGTGGTGTTGACCGCGGAGGATTCTGCGCAAACACGTCCGGTGTCCGTCAAGTCCTCATCCTGCCCCTTCTTCCAGGACACCTTGGGCGTGGGTTTGCCCACGATCGGGATCTTCAGACGCACCGTACTGCCCTCTTTGGCCACATAACACATGTCGGGAAGTTCCCTCAAGTCGCAAGTGGGATGAACTGTGAAAAGGAGGGCCAAAACACTTGAAAAGGACACGCCACTCGAAAAGAGGAGCAAAGCATTGGCGGGCAGACGACAGTCAACGCGGTCCCGTGTGAATGTTTCTCCTTACTGAGCTGGTCCTTGGCAACGACTGTCAGCTCCTTGGCGGCGCCCTCCCCACTGTCATTCACAGCTTTGACGCTGTATTTGTACTCTTTGCCCTCCAGCAGATCTTTGGCGCTGTACTGCATGTTCTTTGACCTCATCAGCGCCTTGGGCTTGCCGTCACCATTGACGACCTCCAGCACGTAGCAGATAATGCGGCTGCCGCCGTCGGTCAGCGGTTTCTTCCAGCTGAGTGTACAAGAGTCCTTGGTGACCAGCAACGTCTTAAAGTCCATGACAGGACCGGGCTCCTCTGCGGGAGTAGAAAAGGACCGGTGAGCCAACGGCAGTCAAACGAAAGAGAACGAAGCCGCTGTGAAATTTCTCCCATGGCAACCGACCAGACGCTCTGACAGAGTCGGGGGTCTCGCAGCACTCTCCGGCGCCGAGCCGATTGACGGCCGACACCCTGAAGCAGTAGGAGCGTCCGGCGCTCAGGTCGGACGCCTTCAAAGACGTCTTGGTGCAATTGTTGGAGACCGTCGACCAGGCCTTCCTCTCGGTCTCGCGCTTCTCCACAATATAGTGCGTGACTTCAAAGCCGCCGTCAAGGAGAGGAGCGTCCCAGTAGAGAGAGGCGCTGTCCTTCGTGGTCTCCTTCACCACCAGGTTAATTGGTGGCCCGGGAGTATCTAAAAATCAGAAGTGGAAAGAAACTCCGCAGGTTCCAATTTTTCTTTGTTTGAATCAACATGAGTTGCGCTCAAGAAGCAGGAAAGGTTTGTTACCCAGGACCCTGACGACGACGGTGTACATCTTCATGCCGGCCACACTCTCCAGGTTGAGAATGTATTTGCCCGCATCGTACCTGTTGACATTCTCCACCGTCACGGTCGTGTCACTTTTGGAGGACTTAATGAGGATGCCTTGGCGGTCTTTGAGGTTGCTGTTCATCTTGGCCCAAACGACCTTGGGCGCCGGGTGACCCTTGATTGTAGCGTGAAGCTTCATGGTGGAGCCGGCACGCAGCTCCAGGCCCTCCTTCAGCTGAGCACTCAGCTCTGCCTCCGGGGGGACTACGAGTTCATCAAATCAAAAGCCGTGACATCATTTCCATTGTTGAACCCACTCGAATTCATCTGATGTTACAATCAGCGTTGCCCCCTTGAAAAAGTACCTTCCCTACTTCACCGGATGACATGATATTAAATGTCACGGAGTTACTTTCCCGATGACCAGTTTGTGAAAGTAACAATTACAAGTCACTTTATTAGTTTGCGTCGGCTCGGCATAATGTGACTCCCGGTCTGGGAATCGTAGCGCATTCCTGGCATCTCGAGTTACCATCCCAAAACGCTGCACAATCCACACCTTCGGTGAGCCTTGTCATGATCTGCGATCCCGCATGCCGCTTAGTCACGCACAGCCACTTGCGGAAAAGAAAACCTACCTATGATGTCCTTCGCCGTGTGCTTGCCGGGGACTTCAACCGGTTCACCAAAGCCGACCTTGTTGACAGCGGTGATACGACACTGGTACTCAGCCTTGTGGATGAGGTTTTGTATGGTGTAGCCGGTGTCCTGCAAGTTCCTGGGAACGTTGCATCTGATCCAATCTGCCGTGTCTGTCCTCCTGCACTCCACCAGGTATCCCAAGATTGGGCTTCCGCCGTCGTTGGCCGGAGCGTTCCAGCTGAGGCTTAGGGTGCTGGAGGTGGTGTCCGTCACGCGCGGGTTCAGCGCCGGGCCGGGAGGAGCTGCGGAAGTGCATTTTATTCCATGTTGGAAACAAGTACGAATCAAGGAAATCACCCTTGAGAGGTCGTGAGACTCACTGATGGGATTTTGCGCCGTGGTGGCGTCTGAGGGCTCGCTGGGTTTTCCAAGTCCTGCCACATTAACAGCAATGACTCTGAATTCATATTCCACTCCCTCGCTAAGGCCGGTGACGTCAAAAGTCCGCTCCAAAAGGGGCTTCCTGTTCATCTTGGTCCAGTTCATCTCCTTGGTTTCTTTCTTCTCAAGCATGTAGCCCAGAATGGTGGACTTTCCGTCATCGGTGGGCTCCTTCCAGCTCACCGTCATGGCATCCTTGGTGACATGGGTAATCACCGGGGCCTCGCACGGGCCAGGGACAGCTGGTAAATACGATCGGACGTTCAAATGACATTTATGTGACGAAAGGGACTGTTAAAAAAATCAAAAAGAGCAATATCGAACGGTACTTTAAGTCAGCAAATGAAGGCCGAACTCACTGAATGGATTCTTGGCGACGACGGGGGCAGTGATGAGACTGTCTCCAACTCCCCACGTGTTCTCGGCACGGATTCGGAACTGATATTCGTGCCCCTCGATCAGCTTCTCCACCCTTTGTTCAAGATCGTCACCCTTGATCTTTGAGGAGACCTGAGCCCAGGTGGCCCGGCTGGTCTCACGCTTGTCCAAAATATAGTTCGTAACTGGGGCTCCACCGTCCCTCAGTGGCGGCTCCCAGGACAACTTCATTTGATTGGCAAACACTTCCATGTACTTGTAACCGGCGGGAGGACCAGGCACATCTGCGTAACAGACAAATTCCAAATGTGACACTGCATTTCAGTCATCAAAGCGAACACACCAGTTAGAGGGGGCCCAAAAGTATTCACCCAAAACGGTAACGTGGATTTCGGCGGACTTGGAGCCACTGGCATTCTCTGCAAGGATGGTATAGACCCCGGTGTGCTCCTTGGTGACCGAGAGCATCTCCATTTGGAACTGGTGTCGCTGCTGGGTGATGACCTGCCCTTCATTTGACCTCAGACTCTCATCACCTCGCTTCCACGTGACTTTCGGCATTGGTTTACCAAAGACCTCAGCCTCCAGGAGAATCGCACTTCCGGCCTTCACCTTCAAGCCCTTCTGCATCCTGGCGTTCAGTTCTACTCTCGGAGGCACTGCGGTAAACGAGAGGAGTCTATTTCATCACCCATCTCAACGTTAGTTGAACATCAAAAGGTCAGTTAGGCGCGTCCCTCTCACCATTCTCGGCACAGACCAGTATTGGGTCTGTGGGCTCTGAGGGTTTGCTCATGTTGACAGCTGTTTTGGCGATGACTCGGAACCGGTATCGCAGGTCTCGTTCCAAGCCGGTCACGGTGTACTCCTCCCTCGGGACGTTCTGGCAAACGGTGTTGCAGCGCAACCACGCGTCTCCGGGCACAGACGTGGACTCCACATAGTAACCGATGATCTTGCTGCCACCGTCGTTCTTGGGCCGGCCCCAAACAAGAGTTACGGAGTTCTTGGTCATGTCCAGGACCTCCGGTTTGCCAGGGGTATCTGCAACACAATGACTTTGATGACAAAGTGTCGCGGAAATGAATTGCTTCAAAATTTGATTTCACAGGTGTTGATCGGGAACCCACCGATGGGTGTTCTCGCAGTTACAAAATCAGTCTTCTTGCTTGGCTTGCCCTGGCCAGCGCGGTTGATGGCTGACACCCTAAAGGTGTACTCCAGGCCCTCAATCAGGCCGGCGCAGGGGTACTCAGTGGTGCGTACAACGGTGTCGTTGGCCTTGACCCAGAGGAGGCTGTTTCTTTCTTTGCGCTCAATGTAGTAACCCGTGATAGGGCTGCCGCCATCGCTCTCTGGCCTGTCCCAGGCCACAAACATGCAGTCCTTGTTCGTCTTGTTGATGTGACAGTTAAGAGGTTCACCGGGAACATCTGGTGTTGAAGAAAACAATCAAACTGAAAATTATTTCTGTCAGGTGGACGACCCTCTCATTTAGTGGCCGTGTCATGATTTTCACAAGCTGGAATATACTTATTGCCCCCCCCCCCCACCCCCAAAAAAAAAAGAAAACAGTAGCTAACAGACCATCATCAAAATGCTTGAGATGTTATGCTCGTCGATTCATTGGAAAATGATTTCCTCCCATGAATGAATAAAACCTACCGAAGGGGAACTTGGCAATCATCCTATCGGACTGGATGGGGTCCGACACCCCGTAGCGGTTCTCAGCACGGATGCGGAACACGTACTCTTTCCCGGGAATGAGTTTGCCCAGCCTGCAGCTTGTCTTCTGGCAGGAGGACACAGCGTTCACCCAGTCACCTCGACTGACATCGCATTTTTCCACCACGTAATTCGTGATTTTGCTGCCTCCGTCCTCCAGTGGTGGGGTCCAGGACACGGAGCAGGCATCGGAGTCAATGTCAGTGATCTCGACAGGCGCCCCGGGGGGTCCAGGAATGTCTACGTCAAGCATAGATCAACTCTGTCAAGCCAGGCACGAAGTGATTTACCGAGTATCCAGGAAAAAAATTAAACAGGGACACTGACCTCTGATGACGATCTTGAGACCCTGGACTGCCTTTGCAGAGCTGTTTTCAGCCACAAGGCTGTAGTCTCCGCTGTCGGTTCTTGAGACATCCTTGATGATCAAGACACACAAATTGCCAGAATGGTGCATGGCCAGACGGCTTGAAGAGACCAGCGGTACGTCGCCACAAATCCACTTGCAGGTTGGCGAGGGTTTTCCAGAAATGACAGCCTCAACCCTGAGTTTGGCTCCGGCTCTTTCACTGACGACGTCTGGCATTATGATCTTTGGCTCCACTGGCGGAAGCAGAGAGGGGACGGAATAGATCTGAATACTTTTCGGCGGAGGTGGGAACAAGGTCATTTTCTAGAACCGATCATCTATCCATCTGACGTCGGAACTTACACGTCTGTTCCTTAATCTCGATTGGGTCCCTGGTCTCCGTGAACAAGCTCAAGCCCATGATGTTCTTGGCAGCCACTCTGAACTTGTACCTCTTGCCCTCTTTGAGGCCACTGATGCTGATGCTCAATCCCTTCACAGTGGTGTACGCATTCCACAGCTCCTTCTCGGGCTCCTCAGGCTCCGCTTTCAAGACTGGAGGCGGTGGCATCGGTGAGGCAGCTTTCCCTTCTTCTGGGATCTGCATTTGAGGTAAACAGTATGAATGCCTGGCTACACTTTGGCACACAACGCTTTGGTCCGCAAACCAATTTGGCGAGATCTTAACTCCGTTGTATTCAAGACCATCGCCGGTGGTCAACAGAAAGTGAGAACGCAGCAAAGTCGCAAACCTCGACTGCTGCCGCTGGGGCTTGTGGAGGAGGTTTGACCTCGATGTACTCAATCACGTAACCGTCAATCTTTGCCCCACCATCCCTCGCAGGCTTCACCCAGCCAATTGTAGCACTGTTCTTTGTGATCTCTAGGATTTCAATCTTCTCACAAGGATCGGGTTTGCCTGGAAAAAAGAAGAAAATCAGTTGCTCTCATATGACGAATGGAAACGCAATGAGTAACTAAACGGCACGGCGGTGTCTCGGTGCTCATTTGTCATTGTGTGACCAAGAAGTCATACTTACTGATGGGATCAGAGGCTAGGTAGGAAGTGGGTGACACCCGAGGAACTCCCGAGCCGTACTCGTTGACAGCAGTCACTCTGAAGTAGTACTCTGTGCCTGGCACAAGACCGCCGACCTTGAAGGGAATCTTGCCTTTCTCAACTTCGGCCTTGACCGTCGCCCACGTCTTGCGATCAATTTCCCGCTTGTCGACGATATAGTGAGTGATCTCACTGCCGCCATCGACCTCTGGAGGGCTCCAAGACAGCATCGCTGAAGTCTGTCTAATGTCAGAGGCCTCCAGATTCATCACAGGCCCCGGGGTGTCTGTTGGGTGGCGGGGAACGAAGGCAAGTTTGTTTTCAACTCCAGCAAAACAACCGCGGAGCTGTGACGGCAAGAAGTCGGGACATACCGAGGACCTTAACGTTGACGAACACGGCCTTTTCTCCAGCAGGACTCCGCACCGTCAAACAGTATTTGCCAGAGTCGTTCCGAGTGCTATCGGGAATGACCAAGAAGGTCATGGTGTCGATGATGTCAACGTGACCCTTCCTGACGACATTATCGATGCCCATCCTCCTCCAAATGACTGCGGGAGGCGGTCTACCTCTGATGGTAGCGCACAGTCTGATGGGACAACCAGCTCTGACTGTTAGTCCCTGTCTTAAATTGGCGTCCAAGTCGATCTCCGGTGCCTCTGTTAAAACCAAAAGATGCATTCGGAGAAATGTCGATGGATGCAGTCGGCCGAGTCGGTAACCAAATCGATCCTCACCGAGTATCTCCTTGGGATGCACAGATGTTTCCAGGTCACAGGGCAGGCTCATGCCCACCTGGTTCTGAGCTGACACTCTGAAGTCATATAGGAGCTTCTCATCCAGACTCGTGACGGTGAACTCACAGAAGACGAGCTGAGCAGCCACATTGCAGCGTTTCCAACTGTCGTCTCCTTTCTTGCCACTTGCCTTCACCCTCATCTCGACAACATAGCCGATGATGGGTGCTCCGCCGTCGGATACGGGCTTGGTCCATCCTAGAGTTACGGTGGACTTGGTGCTGTCCAGGACCTTCATGTTGGTGGGTGGTGCAGGAGGCTCTGTAAGAAAACACACAAGCTGGAGTCACGCAGAACTAATGCTAACAGGCGGCCACAAGAAAGCGAGCGGCGACATACCAACTGCGTCCTTTGCTGTGACGGCACGCGAGGGCTTGCTTGCGCAGCCGACGCCAATTTCATTGACGGCTTTCACTCGGTATTGGTATTCGTGCAGGGGCAGCAATCCTGTGACGGTGAAGCGAGTCGTTGGCATTGGCTCCTTGTTGATGGTGGACCACCTTACAGCATGCTCCTCCTTCTTTTCCAACAGGTAACCGGTGACTGGCTTTCCGCCATCTGTGGCGGGCTCTGACCACTGCACTGTCATTCCCTCCCTGGAAACTCCGGTGACCTCCGGTGCTTCAGGTGCTCCTGGGACACTAAACTTTGTGCCGGCTACAATGGACTCACTCTTGACCGCGGGGCCAGGACCCATTTTATTCTCCGCACGAACTCGAAAGATATATTCGTTTCCCTCAATAAGACGAGTCACCTTGGCCTTGTTGGTGATGACTGCATTTGAGTGGACGGACCAGACGCCCCTCTTGGTGTCACATTTCTCAATGATGTAGTTGTAGATCTCACAGCCTCCGTCATCCTCCGGAACGTTCCATGCTAAATGGCACCTGTCGGTGGTAACGCCCGACACCTGGAGATCACTCACCGGGCCGGGTCTGTCCAACACATTGACCTTGGCATGCGCGGCGCATGTTCCTGCAGCGTTGGCGGCACTGACGACATATTTGCCGCTGTCCGCGCGCCGGGCTGAAGTCAGAAGCAGCTTTGAGAAGTCCGTGCCGGTTTCGATCTGAAGCCTGGGGCCCTTTTTGATCTCCTCAGTGCCATCATCCTTGGTCCATTTGACATCAGGCTGGGGCTTGCCCTTGACCATTGCCTCAATGGGAATCGAGTCCCCTGCCCTCACCACGAGGGTTCCGTCGAGTTTTATCTTGATCTCTGGTTCCACAAGTTGCTCCTTGACGACAACTTCAGCTGTGGTCACCCATTTGCTTTCGCCGCCATCATTTTTGGTCTGAACTCTGAACTGGTAGACCTGGTTTTCAACGCACCTGTCGGCCATGAAGTAAGTCTCCTTGATTGCACCTTTATGAAGTCTCTCCCACTCTTCAGCCTCCTTTGGCTTCTTCTCCACGTGGTAACCCAGGTTACGACTGCCTCCATCGTAGTCGGGCTTCTTCCATTTGAGGAAGCAGAAGGTCTTGCCAATCTCAGCTATGTGGAAGTCAATAGGTTCGCCGGGTTTCTCGATGGGATCGACTGCCAGCACGGCTGTCTTCGTCTCTGCGGGTGGTCCAACGCCGATCTTGTTTTCAGCGCTAACGCGGAAAAAGTACTCACAACCCTCCAGGAGTGGGGCCTTCATCAGGCGCTTGGTACAGTCATTGGAAACGACCGTCCATCCCCTCTGGCTTGGTTGACGGCACTCAACAATATACTGGGTGATCTCCGTGCCTCCGTTGTCCTCTGGATTCTCCCAAGACACCATGCAAGAGTTCTTGGTCACGTAAGCCACCTTTATATTCTGGCAAGCTCCGGGTGTGTCCAGGACATTGACGATAATCGTGGCTTGAGCCTGTCCACTGCTGTTCTTGGCAACAATGGAATATTTGCCATAGTCGGACCTGAGAGCATCATTGATGACCAATTCACACAGAGGATAGCGGTTGTTCAGCACAGTGCGCTTGTCTCGAGACAAGGCCCTGGCATCCTTGGTCCATGCGATCTCTGGGTCCGGTCTGCCCTTAACTCTGGCGATCAGGCTGATGATCTGGCCCGCCCTTACGGTCAGAGAGTCACGGCACGATACGTCGACAACCACCTCTGGAGGGACGAGAATGTCCTTTGCCAAGATGGTCTCGCTCAGCTCCCGGGGTTCGCTCTCTCCGACCTTGTTTGTGGCTCTGATGCGGACCCTGTATTCCATACCTTCGACGAGACCTTGTACTCTGTAGGCGCACAGCTTGACAAGTTCCTTGTTGATCCTGTCCCACTGAGCGGATCCTGTCTTTTGAATCTCGACCACATAGCCCAGGATAGGACTGCCGCCATCTCGTGTGGGTTTGGTCCAGCAGATATCCGCATAAGACTTGCTCCAGTCCTTTAGTTTAGGATTGACGGGGGGTCCCGGCTTGGTGATGGGCCGGGTGGCCTTGACGGGATCAGAGGTGAGAGACGGCTCGCTGACGCCGGCAATGTTCTCGGCAAACACTCTGAATTCATAGCTGTTGCCTTCAAACAGACCCGAAACTCTGTATCTGAGATCCAACACGGGAGTTTTGTTGACACGAATCCACTTGCCTGTCATCTCTCGGCGTTCAATCACATAGCCACTGATCGGACTACCTCCGTCGTGCTCGGGCCGGGACCATTCCAATGTCACGGCATTCTCTGTAATGTCAGAGGACATTGGGAGGCCCGGTGGACCGGGAGGGTTGAACATGTGCTTGGCGATGGTAGGGGAACTCTCGAGCCCGGCACCGATTCCGATCTTGTTCTCGGCGCGGATTCGAACAACGTACTCTCGACCCTTCTCCAGGCGCGACACCCTGGCTTTGGTGCCGATACCGCCGGAGCTCACGACTGACCACGGCTCCCACGACTTCTTCACATCCTTCTTTTCAACCACATAGTTGGTGACGGGTGTACCACCGTCGTCCTTGGGTGGCCTCCATTGTATCATCATATGATCGGGGGTGACTTCCAAGATGTTGATGGGCCCAACGGGTGCTCCCGGAAGATCAAGCACAGTCACGTGCAGAGCCACGGTCTTGCTGCCCGCAGGGTTGGACACAGTGAGGATGTACTCCCCAGTGTCTCCTCTCTTGCATTCTGGTATGGTGAGCGTGGTGGTGGCTCCAGTAGATGTGATGTTATAGTGACCTTCTGATGCAATTTCCTTGCCATCTGTCATCCACTTGGCAGTCGGGATGGGGATCCCTTTCATCTTGGCAGGCAATACAACAGTGCTGCCTGCCTTAACAACTATACCCTCAATAAGCTTCACGTCGACTTCAATAGCGGGTGGTACTGAAAGACAAAAAAAAAACAAAAAAACAAAAACAAAACACCCGTGTGAGGCTTTTCAATGAAACCCGACTGGTGTTGTCCCAAAATTATGACGTCTTACATGTTTTTTCCTGACAGGTGACGGGAACGCTGGTGTCAGGACGACTGATGCCAATAGCGTTCTGAGCCATTGCCCGGAAGCGGTAGGTATTGCCTTCCCCCAGACCGGTGACATGCACGTGGTTACTGCTGACAGTCTTATAGGGCACCCAGTCCACCTCGTTCTCTTTCTGGTACTCAATGATGAAGCCTGTGATTTCACTTCCGCCGGTGCGATCGGGCCACTCCCACTCGAGCCACACTTCTGTCTTGTCTGCATCGGTATGGTGCAGGTTCTTTGGGGGTCCCGGCGGATCTAAACAGTAAGGACAGATGTTTAGATTGTTGGTCTTGATGTTAGGAATCGAATGCACGATGCCACAATTTAGCATTCAGGATTTCGCCTTCCAAGCCGTCGTTTGGTCAATTTTTTGGGCTTTGTAACGCAAGCCAAAATTTGAGTTATGGGGCGAGTTTCAGATTAGGGAAGCGAAACAAAAACTGGGACCGTCAAGGCCAAAGAGAGCCGCAGTCTCTGAGACATTTCCAGGCATTTATTGAACGAGACAAACAGCCAAGCACACCACGTAAGGCAGCGCCGAAGGCCGCAGCTCACGCCGAGACCATCACACGCAGACTGTCCGGGCAACCCGAGTCCGGCTCGACCACACCCCTTGCGGCCACACATGAATTCTAAAGCAACTTACAGTAATCATATTTTATAAACCCGGCTATTTCGGCACATTCTTTTGGAGCGGGTCACTCCTTTGAAGTTATTTGATAAAATGACTTTTCCCCATTCTAAATCGGCTGACTAGCTCACCAAATTGTATCATTGTGACATTAACAAGAATCAAATCGAACACAACACGCAATCTGTCCAAGATATGGAAGCATTGGTCTAGTAACGTTGCTGAAGGAACCCGATATCTTTTCGGATGTATTGTATTGTTTTATCGGGACCTTTGAGTCTGTAGTAAAGTCTCCGTGTTTCAATTCCATTCTCTTTTACTGTTTGTCTCGATTCAAAATGCAAAAATTCCATTTTTTTGAAGGGATGGCAGAAGGAATTAACGGCATTTCAACTCATTTCAGTGAAGAAAATGATTTGAGCCTTGAGTGAATTGAGTTAGGAGCCATTCAAAGTCATCATTCAAGACTCCCCTGTACAGAGGAAACACACAGCGGTGCACTCACACAGAGGATCAACAGCCTTGATGGGAGTCTTTGTGATGACATAATCACTCCTGCCAAACTGGTTTTCTGCTGCCACTCTGAACAGGTACTGGATTCCTTCCATCAGATACATGGCCATCAAACTGCGCTTCTTATGGGCTGCGGAGACCGGGACCCACTGCTCGGCAGCCACATCCTTCTTCTCCACAATGTAATGGGAGATAACGGCGCCACCGTTGTCCTCTGGAGCTTTCCACGTCAAATAGGCAGACTCGCTGGTCACCTCAGAGACCAGCAAGTCTCTCGGAGGCGTAGGTTTGTCTGAAGGGGGGGCGGAGAGAAGCAATTTGAACTCAAGAAATGTTGCTCAAACTGAGGGGATAAAAGAAGGAAGAAAACAGCATCTCAATCACAAAGATTGACGTTCTTGACTCACTCAGAACCAGAACAGCAACCGTGGCCGTTTTCTTTCCGGCAGCATTTTCCACCGTGAGAGCGTAGTTGCCGGAGTCGGGGCGGACACACTTCGGGATGAGGATCTTGCTGCCGGTGGATGTGACGGCAACGGTGATGTGGGCTGGCAACGCGGCATTGTTTTTCTTCCAGCTGACGTTGGGTGTGGGCACACCCTTGATGGTGGCACTCAAGGTGATGTCGGTGCCCAGCATGGCCAGATGGTCGCGTGCCATGTTGGCATCCAGCAGCAACTCCGGTGCCTCTGCGGAGGGAAGGAGCTTGGAATTGAGTACTCAGCCTCTCGGCTCTCAGGGCGCAAGTGGCATCGAAAATGGACAGCCAGACGTGTCGAGGTAGATGGAAAGCAAGAAAGTCCTACCCAGTCTATCATGGACCTTCACGGTCTGTTTGACATAGGCCGGGTCCGATTTTCCGGCGGCATTAACGGTGTAGATCCTGAAGGCGTACTCGTGTCCATCGCTCAGGCCCGTCACCACGTAGTGCAGGTCGGGGCACTGCTCGGGACGCTCGTTAGCCGGAATCCACTCGATTGAACCCGGCTTCTGGTACTCCACGAGGTAGCCGAATATTCGTCCTTTCCCGTCATGGCGGGGCGTCTGCCACTTGAGACTCACGGAGTCTTTTGTCTTGTCGTACGCCTCAGGGGTCACGGGAGGACTCGGCCGTACTGTGGAGAATGGACCACATGTATGATTTCACGTTAGACCGTTGCGGCACGATGAGGTCCGCACGCTTTACGCGAACTAACCAATGGGATCCTTGGCAAGAATGGGCTTTGAGGGTTCACTCGGGTCTCCGGTTCCGAGCTCGTTTTCAGCCATCACACGGAACTCGTATTCAGAGCCCTCCACCAGGTCCTGGACTCGATACTGAGTAGCGGGGTACAAGGGTTCTCTCGTTGCCCTTGACCACCTCTTGGCAGTGGGCTCTTTCTTCTCCAGTATATAGTTGGTGATGGGCTTCCCTCCATCGCGGGGCCGGTTCCAGAGCACCAATGCGTTGGTCCCATACACCTCTCTGACAGTTGGCATCTCAGGGGCCTCTGGAACTCCTGCAAAAAAAAAAAAACCACACACACCAAAATGCGGTGATGTGTTTGTCATTCATTTGAAGCTATTGGCCAATAACGGTTGCATCAAGAGATTTACAACGCGGTTTGGGAAGGGTTGGCTTGGGTCACAAACTCACTGAAGAGATCTTTGGCTCTCATCTCCTCAGAGTCCAGCGGGTCACTGATACCGTACATGTTTTCGGCAGAGATCCTCATTACGTATTCCCTGCCCTCGGTCAGTTTGGGAATCTGAAATGGTCATGAAAAAAAACAACAACTTGAGTCTCACGTCCACATACTGACAAAATATTTGACGAGCAACGATTGTGCGCCAACCTTGCATGTGGTCTTGGTGTTTGCTGAAGTGACAGTGGTCCACATCTCTCTGTTTGCGTCCCTTTTCTCAATGATGTAGTTGGAAATTTCTACGCCGCCGCTGTCCAAAGGAGGTTTCCAGGAGATCACCATGTATTCACGGTGCACCTCCTCAAAGACAACCGGACCCACGGGAGGAGAAGGACGGTCTGCGCGGACAACGGAAACTTGATGAGTGCTCCTTCCTGACACTCACCGTCCCGCGAGACTAATCTGCTATCAGGACCAAGATGAATGACTTTCCACATGAGTGAGTGGCCCGGTTCTCCCACCCGCACTTCCCATCGTATCGTTGCCCCGGTCGTTGCGCCTCGGCCTTTGACAATCGGCGACTGCCAAATGCCAGGCGGAAAGGTGAAGGTAAAGCTGAGTGTCCAGTTCGTACCGACAACCGTGACGTTGCAGACGCCTTTCCTGGAGCCGGTGCTGTTCTCCACCGCCACCACGTATCGGCCGCTGTGGCAGCGCTGCGCCTTCATCACACCCAGCGACAGTGTGGTCAGCGTATTCTTGAACATGACGTGCTTGTCGGCCTTGAGCTCCTCGTCATCTCGGTACCACACGATGGATGGAGAAGGCTTGCCGGTGTAGCGACCCTGCAGCAGGAAGCTCTCGCCGACGCGGACGATGAGCTTATCGCGGAAGTCCAGCTCGATCGTCGGCGGCTCTGGAGCAGGTAAAGCAAAGGCGGTCGGCGAGTTCACGCGGTGGCCCACTAGGACGGCTTAACCGGACGCCGCTTACCGAGCTCATCCCTGCAGGTGACCGGTTTGGAGCAGAACGACGGTTTACTCTGCCCCACCTCATTGACGGCGCTGACTCGGAACTCGTAGGTGTCACCCTCCTTCAGTCCGTCAAAAGTGTACTTCCTCTCCATGAGCTTTTCCTTGGTCAATCGAGTGAACTTGTCTTTGCCGATCATGCGAGCCTCCAGGACGTACATCACGATCTCGGAGCCGCCGTCGAACTTGGGCGCTTTCCACGTCACGTGGATCAAATCTTTGGTGACCGTGGTCACCTCCAGCTCCTCGGGTCGGTCCGGCACACCTGAACGTGCGGACACGCGCCGCTTAGGATTCTCAGGAGGGCTTTCTCTGTATCGCGCGTGATTCTCGAGTTGTCTTTTGATTCAAACTTGGCGTTCACTTACTCAGCGGTTCCTTGACGACGAGCTCGGCCGCCGTCTCCGTGAAGGGGCCGATGCCGATGGCGTTCTCGGCGGCAACTCTGAAGAAGTAAGCCTTGCCTGAGGTGAGGCCGGTAGCCACGGCGTTCTGTCTGCTGGCGGTGAACGACAGCGACGTCCAGGCTTTTCGCTCCGCTTCGCGTTTCTCAATCACGTAGTTGCTAATGGGGGAGCCGCCGTCGTTCTCTGGGAAGTACCAGTTGATCTTGCAGGAATCGTTGCTCAAGTTCTCTGCGATCATGGGGATGCCAACCGGCCCGGGAACGTCTGGCGGGGAACGCGATCGAGGATCGAAATCAAACAAAAGCAAAGTCCTTCCCCGAGGCTCGCAGACAGTTTCGAAGAGCCGGCACGTCTCATTTGACGGCGCACAAAGACTCACCCAGCACTTCCACGGTGACATTCTTCCTCTTCTCCCCCGCAGCATTCTTTGCAGTCACCGTGTAGATGCCGAGATGCCTTCTGGAACACGGTTTGATGACCAGAGATGAGCTGATGGCCGTCGTCTCTACCTTGGCCTCCGGGGGCAGAGCCATTCCGTCCCTGCTCCAGGTGACTTCTGGTGACGGCTGACCCGACACGTAACAGATGATCCGGATCACCCCACCGGCGTGGACCACCATCCTTTCCTTCACCGAGGCATCCAAATCAATGTCGGGGGCAACTGAAGAGAAAAGTTCCATAAAGTTCTCTGAAAACACATGAGGACGATTCGACCGCAACGCTTCTGTTCTTGGCGAAAACACGCACCATTTCTGTCGTTGAGCTCAAGCGCCCCGGGCACTTCACCTGGTTCACTAAGACCGGCAAGGTTGAAGGCCGTGACCCTAAACCTGTACTGACCGCCAGTCTTCAGACCGGCAATCGCAAAGCGGGTTCCACGGATTTCAGTGTCCTTGGCCTGGAACGCAAAAAAAATGTCACTACGGTCTATTACGAGCGAAGCAGGAAGAAACCGTACATCATCATCATCATCATCATCATATGCCTCATCTCTTAGTGCATTCATCGAGCAGACTGGGGGAGCTACGAAACATGAATAGTAAGAGTAGAGTTCTATTTTGTTGAACCATTTTTTTGTTTGTTTGTTTGTTTGTCGTCACCTTGACCCAGGCGTCAGCGCAATCCTCCTTGTACTCCACCCAGTAGCCGATAATTTTGGAGCCTCCATCCTTCAGCGGGGGGATCCATTCCAGATCCGCGGTGGACCTTGTCCAATCTGAAATCTTTGGTGTTGGTGGAGAGGGTGGGGCTGAGGAAAAGAGCGAGCGTCGTTATTGAAAACCTACAAACGTACTTTTTTGTTTATTTGACGACAAAGGGTGTCGTGAGCGCTTACAGATGGGGTCTCTGGCAAAGACGGGATCGGTCGGGACACTGGGGAGTCCAGGTCCTGCGGCATTGATGGCCGTAACTCTGAAGATGTACTCGGAACCCTCAATGAGTCCGCCGACTTTAAACGATTCACCCAGGCCCACGGGGCGGATGGGGTCACGGGTGACCCGTGCCCAGCGTTTCCCAGTGGTCTCCTTGCGCTCCAACCAGTAACCGGTGATTGGCGTTCCGCCGTCGTCGTCGGGCTCCTCCCAAGTCACGGTCATGGAGTCCAGGGTGATGCTGGACACGGTCGGCTTCTCGCATTGCCCGGGGACGGCTGGAATACACAAGGAGAGTTTTCCATTTGGGCGCGGAGTTTGGAACTGTAGCCCGCGTGAGAAGAAAAGGACTTACTGTAGAGGTTTCTGGCCACCTCTGGATCACTGTCTAGCGGTTCGCCAACTCCATACTTGTTCTGGGCCATGATGCGGAAAACATACTCGTGGCCCTCCATCAGGTTTTCCACCGTCCAGAGGCGCTCTTTGGGCTCACTGGTGACGGGGACCCAGGTATTTCTGTTCGCTACACGCCTCCAGATGACGTAATTGGTGATTTTGGAGCCCCCGTCGTCTTTCGGTGGCAGCCAGGAGAGAGTGACCCTCTCTGCGCCGATCTCCTCAAACTTAATGGGAGCAGAGGGAGGACCGGGCCGACCTGGAGGAAGGACATTTCAGAACACTCCATGTGCCATGCGACCTTTGACAACAAAGTGACGAAACCGGGCAACGAAAAGTGTTTAGGGTTGCCAACGAGTCAGAGAAGACTCCCCAACACGTTGGTCAAAAATTGTAGACTGAGACTCGAGCTTACCGAGCACGTTGAGCCTCATCTCCTTGGACGCTTTGCCAAGGCTGTTGGAGGCCACAAGCGTGTAAAGGCCAGTATCGGGGCGTTTGCCCTGCTGTATCAGCAGCGTGCAGCTGTCGTCAGACACCATCTTGTTGATATGTTCGTCGTAGCGGACCTCCACCTTGCTGTCGGACTTGTGGGGCGGGGCCTTGTACCAAGTGAGAGTGGGGAACGGGCAGCCACGTATCCTGGCCACAATGCTGATGTCGCTGCCTTGCTCGGCCTCCATGAACTCCTTCAGCTCGATGGCCGGAGCGCCTGGAGGTGCGGTGCAATGTCACAGAATATTAACCGCGGAATTTGCGTCCTCGTCAACTTCGTACTTGACTGGAAATGCCAATGAACTTTTCCATCTCTTCGATTCTTACGGGTCTGGTCCTGAATGAGAACGGGCCCAGCGGTGGAAGACGGTCGGCTGGCTCCAGCCTGGTTGTAAGCGATCACTCTGAACTCATATTCATCACCCTCTGTCAGGTCCTCCACCTTAAAGCTTGTGACGTCAACGTCCCTCCTGTTACACCTGCAGTCAGTCGTGAGAGTTTAAAATCGGGCCTTCGATGTGGCCAACGGACAGCTGCATTGGGGTTGAAGATGAAGGTTTACCTCCTCCAGGACTCTTTCTGGCTGCCGCTGGCATCCCAGCAGAGTAGGTCAACGCTATAGTGAGTGACAGGTGATCCACCATCGTTTCTGGGAACCTTCCACGTGAGGGTCACTGTACCCTTCCTCACGCTCTCGATTTTAAGCCTGGTTGGAGGATCCGGTGGGTCTGAAAGCGCAGACGCGACTCATGTGCAGGTCCCCAAAACATAGCACGGGCTTAAGCGGAACGCTGACATACGGATAGGATCTCTGGCTGTGGTTCCCTCGGCGGTCTGCGCATAGGGCCCGAAACCAAATCGATTCTCGGCACGAACGCGGAACAGGTATTCCTGACCTTCAATCAGGTCTGGAACCACCAGAGACTGCGCAGCACAGGATGAATTCACCTGAGTGGATGAGATGAGGGGGGAGAGAAACTTCGAGTCAATCAGTTGGCATCGTGTCCTCGTTTTGTTTTGTTTTTTTCCCCCCGTTTGTTGTGGGTTATTCAGGACGCTGTTAGATTCTGCATTGGGGTGCATCGGTCCTTTGAGTGAACCTTACGATTTTGTTCATAACACAGTACCAAATAAGACGCGCTTCACCTTTGTCCAGGCTTTTCCCACGACAGTCTTCTTCTCGATAAAGTAGCTCTTCACTCTCTCTCCTCCGTCATTCTCTGGAGGTTTCCAGGTGAGTCGACAAGTACCTCTGGTCACGTCGCTCACATTCAGGTCTCGAGGAGGTCCCGGAAGATCTGATGGTCCCATTGAAAAATGACATTTGGTGGGGTTTTACCTTCTGCATGCGGTTTTGTCCGTGCAAAAAAAGTGAGTATGAATTGAGGGACGCGTATTACGCACCAAGGACGTTGACTCGCACTTTGACTACTTTGTGTCCGGCCGGGCTTTCCGCGTTGACGATGTAGCGGCCAGCGTGGTTCATTTTGCACACAGGAATGATGACCAAGGAGCTCGTGTCGGTGGAGTGAACCTACCGTGAGGAATTAAGTCAATCAATAAAAATCTCCGGCAATGCCACATGCTTCTGATATGCCCCGTGTTCAGGAAAGCTCGCTCCGGAGGACAACGTGCGGCCCACGCCATCGTCTGTGTCACTTCACCTCCGAGTCGAGAGGAAGTGTATGAAGTTCATTTTTCGTCTCGGTCTCGGCCGTTCCGTCGAAGGTCCAGGCTACTCTAGGCACCGGACGCCCGCTGATGGTGACGGGGATCCTGATGGTGGTTCCAGCCCTGCAGTTCAGCAGGTCGTGAGCACTCACATCCAAAGACACCGTCGGCTCAACTGGAAGACGGAGACAGGGAAGGATTGAAACGGCTTTGTATGCTGATCAAGTTGGACAAACGCGCGACACAACTCTTACCTAGGATGTCCTGAACGAGGACGTCTCCAGTCCTGGCAGGCTCAGAATTGCCTGCGGCATTCACAGCGTAGATCCTGAACTTGCACTTCTTGCCCTCCTTCAGGTCGGGGACGGTCATCTCGGTGGATGGGTGGAGTTTGTCGGCAGGATTCACCCTTCTCCAATCAGGGGAGCCTTCCTCGTGCACCTCAATGACGTAACCCTTGACAGGGCTGCCACCGTCCCTGTCTGGGGGTCTCCAGGCGAGCGTGACGCTGTTCTTGCTCTTGTCTTTGACCTCAGGGGATCCGGGTGCGGTAGGAGGACCTAACGGCCAGAAAATATCAAGATTTCAGCGTTGCGGAACAACACCGAGCCGCGCGGAAACTTTTTCCAAATCACTAAATGAGACTTCGAAAGGTCCAGACTCACTGCACGGGTCCACAGCGAAGCGGCACTCTGTGGACTCACTGGGAGGTCCGACCCCCGCGGCATTGGTTGCCGCCACCCTGAACTGGTATTCCGTTCCTTCGATGAGCTTGAGAACGGTGTATTGCAGAGCTTTCACGGCCGGTTTGGTGACCGGGCACCGGTTAACGCGCCCCCAGTACACGGCTCCGCGTTCCCTCTTCTCTAGCCAGTAGCCTTGTATGGCGGAGCCGCCGTTGTCCAGCGGGGGATCCCAGGTCAGAGTCATTGTGTTTGATGTGGCGGCAATGATCCTGGGGTTTCGTGGCGGTCCGGGGAGCCCAAACGGATCCTTCAGTTCCACCTTCTCAGAGTCACAGCCGTCACTGACGCCGTATTTGTTCTCCGCCCTGATTCTGAACTGGTAGTGACCGTCCACATTCAGTTTGTAGACCTGAGCGGACAAAGGCCAGACCGTCCGTCTACGTCCGATAGAGGAGGTCACGTCGCCGCACTCGGTCTTCCGTCGGGCGAGCGCGCACGCGTCTGCACTCACCCCGTAGCGCCGATCAATGAGGTTGGAGGTCACTGCCTCAAAGTCCGATTTCTTCTTGCTGGCATCCCTGCGTTCGACCGTATAGTTGGTGATCTCGCTGCCCCCGTTGTCTTCCGGGGCATCCCAGGTCAGGTAGCAGGAGTCCACCTTGATGTCGGAGACCACAACGTTCTTCGGGGGAAGAGGGCGGTCTGAGAGCAAAGGACGTCAGGTTAGACAAGTGACACTCGGCGTCAAGCAGTCCGTGCCTCTAAAAGTCTTCATACCAAGGACTTCTACGCGGATGACGTGCTGAGCTTTGCCGTAACTGTTTTCAGCCACAAGTTTGTAATTGCCTTTGTCCTGCCTGATGGTTTGTGGCATGGAAATGGTTGTCCTCAATGTTGTGCGATTCACCTGGTAAGGGAAGAGTCAGCAAACCACATCCGGTGTCATCCAGTGTCAGGCAATTCCCCCTCGTTAGGGAACGTTAGAGAATGCTGCGGTCGATCAAGGAGGTGCGCAAGAGAAAATGCACCCTTCAAAGAGAAAGAATGCGTTGCTCACCTCCTCGGTTTCCACTGTCATCTTCTCTTTGTCGCATTTGTCTATCACCTCGTCGTCCTTCATCCACTTGATTCTCGGAAGAGGAAGGCCCTTAACCTCAGCTGGAATGTCGATGGCGGAGCCTTTCTTCACAATGATCGAGTTACTCTTGAAGTACTTCAGGATTGTAATAACCGGTGCAACTGTGAATTCCAAAGGTGAGACTTTCAATTCATCAAAGCGGTGCTTCCGTTATAGCTGTCGAGACATTTGACAATTGCTTCGCTGACATACTTTCATCATCCTGAATCTTGGCTGCGATGGGCTTCGATGGAGCGCCATCCCCAACCTCATTCACGGCTTTGACGCGGAACTCGTACTCCTGGTTCTCTGACAAGTTCTCGAGGACACCGGAGCACTTGGTAAAGATCTTGCGGTTGGCCACCTCGAACTCACCGCCGTCAGATCTCATCTTCTCCACGTAGTAGCCGACGATGGGGCTACCGCCGTCGCTGCGCGGGGGCTGCCAGGCCAGCGCGATGGTGTTCTTGCTTCTATCGGTGTAGCGCAGCTTCTCGGGAGCAGATGGCGTACCTGCAGGGAAATGTCAGAGAATGACTTTGTCCGAAGCGCAGAACTGGTGCAAGACGTTCAATTTGCTTCAGTGTAGAAAAGTCGCCAGCACCTTTGGGATCTTGAGCTAAAATGGGCCCGAGGTCCGCCGGCGCGCCGTCTCCATACTTGTTTCGGGCGATGACCCTAAAATCATACTCCTCGCCCGCCAGCAGTCCCTGGACGTCGCATTTGCAGGACGCCACCTCAATGGGCTGGCGGAAGAGCTTCATCTTGGCATCCTTTCTCTGGACCTCGTAGCCAATGATGTCGCTGCCGCCGTTGTCTAGCGGATCGGACCAGGTGAGGGTGATGTTCTTCTTGGTCACCGTCACAGTCTTCAAGTCGACCACAGGCCCTGGGACGTCTGCACGACAAAAAAACAAAACAAAACAAAATTCAAATTCTAAGCAATCGACGTAAATGATGCGGATACATTCGGTCATTGGGAAAATATCCGATTAAAAAAAAAAAAAAAAAAGCACCAGCTTCATTTTAACGACATTTCCCGTCAAACGAATGACACTGACCCATGACGTCAACTTTGGTTTCGGCAGCCTTAGTCCCACTGCTGTTGGTGCCTGAAATCTGGTATTTGCCATGATCCTTCCTGAGTGCCTTCTTGATGAAGAGACTGCTGTGCTTGCCATCCGTCTCCACGATCATTCTCCCCTTGTCAATTTCAGCATCGTCTTTGGCCCACTTGACCTCAGGCTGCGGTCGGCCAGTCACCACGGCGGGAAGCTTCAGCGACTCGCCGGCCTTGATCATGACGCCATTCTTGACGGAGACGTCGAAGTCCACGGCCGGAGGTTCTGAAGGCCGCAGAAGATGAGAACGTGTGTTTTGAAGATGACAAGGAGAGACTCGCCGGCAGTATGCATCGGCTGTGGCCTTTGCTCGTACCTTGAGGCTCCTTGACGGTGACGGGGTCTGTGACTCCCGGTGCTCCGGGACCCGCGTCGTTGACGGCGATGACTCGAATGTAGTAATCGGTTCCTTCGGTCAGACCTGTGACGGTGTAGGTCAGCTCCTTGCACCTGAACTCCGTGCTGCGAGTCCAGTTCTTCTCCCCGGCCACCACCTGTTGTCGTAGGAAGAGGGATTTTGGCCCTGAATGGCTCACGTGTCGGAATCGTGTTATGGCGAGGCTTTGCTCCATCTCGAAGCACCAAGAGTCCACAAAATACCACTAAAGCAATATTTGTGACATTAATAATGGCTTCAGCCTGAGGACAAAAACAGCAAAAAGATGTTTCATCAACAGAGGATTGGTTCTCAAAACACTTACTCCACCAAAATACAATCGGTTCTTTATTGGACCCACCCAAAATTTTGTCTGAAATGTGCGAGCATCATTTTGACAAACCTCGATGGGTTTTCACGTGCAAAGTCAAAGGAGTAGTTTTAAAAACACCACTTTGATATCAAAATATTGACTTGAATGGGAAAATATCCGATTAAAAAAAAAAAAAAAAAAGCACCAGCTTCATTTTAACGACATTTCCCGTCAAACGAATGACACTGACCCATGACGTCAACTTTGGTTTCGGCAGCCTTAGTCCCACTGCTGTTGGTGCCTGAAATCTGGTATTTGCCATGATCCTTCCTGAGTGCCTTCTTGATGAAGAGACTGCTGTGCTTGCCATCCGTCTCCACGATCATTCTCCCCTTGTCAATTTCAGCATCGTCTTTGGCCCACTTGACCTCAGGCTGCGGTCGGCCAGTCACCACGGCGGGAAGCTTCAGCGACTCGCCGGCCTTGATCATGACGCCATTCTTGACGGAGACGTCGAAGTCCACGGCCGGAGGTTCTGAAGGCCGCAGAAGATGAGAACGTGTGTTTTGAAGATGACAAGGAGAGACTCGCCGGCAGTATGCATCGGCTGTGGCCTTTGCTCGTACCTTGAGGCTCCTTGACGGTGACGGGGTCTGTGACTCCCGGTGCTCCGGGACCCGCGTCGTTGACGGCGATGACTCGAATGTAGTAATCGGTTCCTTCGGTCAGACCTGTGACGGTGTAGGTCAGCTCCTTGCACCTGAACTCCGTGCTGCGAGTCCAGTTCTTCTCCCCGGCCACCACCTGTTGTCGTAGGAAGAGGGATTTTGGCCCTGAATGGCTCACGTGTCGGGGACCACCCAGAATCTTTTCCAATCACTGTCGTGCGTCATATGGCGGCTTCATGAAAAACAAGGTAACATCGCGACGGTAACCTTCTCAACGTGGTAGCCCAAGATGTCCCCTCCTCCATTGTACAAAGGCGGCTTCCAGGACACGATGACCGAGTCTTTGCCGGTGTCTACGATCCATGGTGTCGGAGGACCCGGAGGCACTGAAGTGGCAGTGTGGAGAATACAGACAGGCGCTTAGCATGCAGGTCTTCGCAAATGCAAGATTGACATCGACCAAAGGCCTTGAATGTGGTTTTAACGCTAAGAAGGGCTCGTTCCAATTTTGTGCCCGCTTTTGCACCGCAAACGTAAAACGATGGTCTCGTAAGCATCGCTAAACACCGAAAGCAAGATCTTTTGGCACGTCGACGCCGTTTGGCTTCACAAATAGGAGCGCTCGACAATCCACAATGGGGTTAGTTGCGGGTGCCCGCTAATTCCACGGCGGGGTGACTTACGGATGGCGTCCATTGCAACGATGCGGTCCGTGGGCTCGCTGAAAGGTCCGGGCCCAGCCAGGTTCTCGGCACACACCCTGAAGATGTAGGTGAGTCCCTCCAGCAGGCCGCTCGCTTTCACTTCCAGAGAGTTGAGGAGAACGCGGTTGACGCGAGTCCAGTGTTTGCTATTCACTTCTTTCCTCTCAATCCAGTAGCCCAAAATGGGACTGCCGTTGTCCTTCGGCTCGTGCCAGGAGAGGTGGGCCGAGCTCGCCGTCACTTCGTGAACTCTCGGGGTGTTGGGTGCGTCGGGAGGATCTGATGGGGAAAGGCGTGCCTAAGTCATACTGGACTCCCTCAAAAGAGCATCGAACTCATTCTCACCGCCGCAGCTCGGCTTGTGACCCGTACAGAGAGATCAAAACGTATCGCTCGCTCCTTCAGTCTTGACGCTGGCTCGCAGTCAGCGAGATTAGCGTTTCAAATTCTGCCACTGGCCTATCGGTCACAGTTTTGAGTTCATACCCGAGTGTGGTTCACATTCTTTTGGCAGTCTGAAAAAGTTCCGCATTCTTCAAGGATCTCTATTATTGTGCGGAACGTCTGTGTCGGTTCAGTTCTAGTCAACGGAAGATCATCAGCATACAGGGCAAGATTTTGCTCTCCCCCAGCAATTGTAATCCCTTCAATATCTCGTCTTGCCGACTTCAACGCGTCATGCAAAGAGAAGTGCGCAGGCAGAGATCACAAACGCGCTTCTTTCCCATCGAGACGCGTGCCCAACGGTCTTTTGTTGGAGCGATGCCCTGACTGTAAAATCACAAGATTTGGAGTTCGGATTTTGTGTCCAAATGTATCAAAGCGACCCCGAGAGAAGACGGGACGAATGCAAAACATCGATCGAAACCGGTGCTTATCATTTCAAAACGCGCTCACCAAACGGGTTCTTGGCCACCAGCGGTTCAGAGACCAGAGGTGGTCCGCATCCAAATTTGTTCTCGGCGGTAACTTTGAAGATGTACTCCTTCCCTTCGATCAGCTTGGTGACGGGGAAGCCGGTGCCCTTCAAGGTGGAGGTAACGGTGATCCAGCCGACGTCGTCGCTCTTGTTGTCTTTTTTCTCCACGATATAGTTCAGGATCTCACTGCCGCCGTCATCCTCGGGAGGCTCCCAGTTGCACACCGCTGAGGTGTTCCTGATGTCATCAAAGGTGAAGTTGATGGGGGGCCCGGGTTTGTCTGCGGCACGAAAGATTCCAGCGATTGCAGCAAAATCTTCAAAGGTGACCCTCGTCAATTCCGCTGGGTCAGTGTGGCAAACGGCATCTCGAAAGCCCTTTTGATTTTGTTGTGCTTTCGGGACGCCGTCAACCGCTCTGACTGGTCGGCGGGGAAACTTACCCAGGACGTTGACGACGCAAGAGGCGGTGGCGAGGCCGTGAATGTTCTCAACCTGGATGGTGAAGATGCCGTGGTCCGCTCGGATGGCCTCTCGTATCATCAAAGCGGAGTGACCCTTCTTTGTCTGGTCCAAACCGAGGCGCTCGCGCAGTGGCGTCACAAACTCTTCTGGGGGGCCATAAGCCTGGGAGGACAAAAACAACACCAAACACCAAGCCTGAATATATATATGTGTGTGTGTGTATATACACAGCACAGACGGTGCTTGAAGCGTCGTTTACTGCCGTCACCAAACCGACCTTGGCTTTGGTCTTCCTCTTAACCAATGGGACGACCTTCTTGGTGGGCTCTTTGGTGACGTCCTCATTGTTCCTCATCCAGGTGACCTTGGGGTAAGGGGAGCCCGAGATGTTGGCATCGATGCGAATCTCTCCGCCCTTCTTAACGCACAAGCCGGACTGCACGCGGGCATGCAGGGTGACCGTCGGTTTTTCTGAAAAAGCGCAAAGGAACGTCAAGGTCTTTGGTCAAATTCAAGTCTGCAACAGTCATGACTAAACATTAAGCCGTGACACAACGCAGGGATCCGATCGCGCCGCGCCGACGTTTGACATCCGGTTCAAGTGCAACTGTTTGCCAAACGGTCCGTCGTACCGACGGGGTCGGCGGCTCGGACGGGTTGGGTGCTCCGAGACGGTCCGCTGATTCCGGCGGCGTTCTCGGCTCGGACCCTGAACTGATATTCCTTGTCCTCCTTGAGACCCGTCACGACATGGGAGAAACCGGGAACCGGGCCGGGGGTAACCCGCTCGAAGCGCTCGCCGTCCTTCTCCATCCGCTCCACAATGTAACCTTGAATGGGGCAGCCGCCGTCATAATCGGGCGCTTTCCAAGTGATGGTGACGGATTTGGACGTTGGCTCGTGGGCCTCCACTTGGATGGGCGGGTCTGGTTTCTCTGTAAAGGGGATGACGCTTTCATTCTACTTTGCGCATTGGTCACCGGCCACGTCGACTGCCCGGAGGTGGACTTACGCTTGATCTCCTCGATGATGACGGGGGTTCGCAACTCCAGATAGGCTCCGGCGCCCACCTCGTTGACGGCTCTCACCCGGAAGTAGTACTCACAGTTGACGCGCAAGTCTTTGACCGTGCGGCCGAGAACGTGCTCTCCCGACGTGACGGGCACGTAGGTCTTTTTGGAGGCTTCGCGACGTTCCAGCGTGTAACTAAGAATTGGCGTCCCTCCGTCGTCCTCGGGTGCCACCCAGCTGACATCGCAGGAGTTCTTTGTGACATTGCCGGAGCTGATGTCTTTGCACTGACCGGGGAGCCCTGCGCGAGAACACAAAGAGGCAAAGAACGACTTCTTAGCGCCGTCTCGTCAGAAGTTGTTGAGGGCCTTCAGCCACTCGGCCTTGCCCGCCTCACATCAGAAATTCAGACTCTCTCACCGCATTCAAATTGTGACTCAAAACACATCCTGATTGTCATTGGTTGAATTGGCTGCTTGTGTCTTGGACGCCTCATCTCTTGTTTACTGTTGTGCGTGTGATATGTGCTCCATGTGCAGCACTTTAGCGGTGGTTGTCCTAAAGTGCTCGAGAAATACAGGTGAGTCGCATCGAGTTCTTGTGTTTTATCCCATTTTGCTTTCTTTGTCCTCATTTGTAAATTCAAGTACGTTGAAAGACGCTCGAAATGAAACGCCTCATAGTCGCTATGAATTGAAATGGTGAAAGCAACGTACCAATGACTTTGACGTTGACGTTTCCACCGGCGGTCCCCAGGCTGTTTTCGAGGGTGATGGCGTAGACGCCGGCATCGGAACGTGCGCACCGAAGCAATTCCAGGTGGGCGCTGTTCATCTCCACTCTCATGGAGAGCCGCTCTCCACTCTTACATTCCCCCGCGTCCTTCTGCCACACCATCTGCGGCGTGGGGATGGCCTTGTAGGGAACGTTCAGGTGCAGCTTCTCTCCCTCGATCACCACCACATCCTTTGCGTCCAACTCCATAGTCGGGGCACCTTGAGAACGGGTCACCGGCCGGCCGCAGTAGCAATTTCAGTACACGATCGTTTGGTCCTCGGCAGCCGTGCTGATACTTACAGTCTGGATCCTTGGTGAAAACCTTGTCGGAGATGTCCGAGGGGTCGCCCACGCCGATGGCGTTCACGGCACGGACCCTGATGACGTACTTCTTCTCCGGTTTGATTCCGTCCTCGATTTTAAACTTGAGGTCTTTGATCGGTCTGCTGTTGACCCGCAGCCATTTCAGCTCTGGACGAGCCTCGGCCACCTCGACGTGGTAACCGATGATCGGGGAGCCGCCATCCTTGACCGGCGGCTTCCACGCGACGGTGATGTGCTCCCGGCTGCTATCTGGGACAGTCACCCCCGAGGGAGGGGACGGTGCACCTGAAGATACAGACCGCGGCGGTTTTACGACGCATCCGGCCGCCGTCGCTTCTGTTGCCAAACTGCGGAAGTCGACCACAAATGCGGCGGACTCACTGGTGGGATCCTCGATGGTCAGGGTCTCGGTGGGTTCACTGGGTTCCCCGACCCCCGCCTCGTTTTCCGCGCGCACTTGGAACTGGACCTCTGAGCCCTCGTCCACATCGGTCACCGTGAATTGAGTTTGTTTGTCCGGAGTCTTGCAGCACTTCAACCAACGAGTTCCCAGTTTGTCCTTCTTCTCGATCACGTACCTGCGGCGTTACGAGCAACAGTCACACCGGGGCGACAAGCTTCTACCTTCACTTCAGGGCCATTTTCTGAATCCCCCCCGGCATCACTTCAAGCGGCGGGTCTCCGATCGTACCTGGTGATGGGTCGTCCGCCGTGGCTTTTCGGAGCTTCCCATTTCAGCTCCACGTGTCTCTTGGTGACCTCCACGACGGTCAGAGCGTAAGGAGGTCCGGGAGTGGCTAAAGAGAAATTCCGCCGGCATTAGCGTGTGGTTGTAAGGCACGCGTTTTGATGTCAAATTCTCCCTCCCTCAGAACGTACTGAAAGTGTCTTTAGCCAGCACGGCATCCTCCAGCTCGCAGAATTCGCCCAGGCCGACGGCATTTTCAGCAGCCACGCGGAACACATACAAGGAGCCTTCGTTGAGCGGGGTCACCGTGTATTTGAGCTCCTTGACTGTGGTATCCACGGTCTGCCAAGCTTTCCGCCGCACGTCTCTCTTCTCCACCACATAGTTGGTGATGGCTGAGCCTCCGTCGCTGCTGGGTGCCTGCCACTTCAGATCGGCGTTGATCTTGGTGATGTTGGCCACGTCCAGCCACTGAGGTGCAGATGGGGGGTCTGTCACGTGGAAACAGGAAGAGGTTGGGCTTTTGAAAAAGTCCCAGATTGGGTCGAGCATTCAAGACTGTCAATAGTTCGACACGGTTCTTCTGATCTCAAGAGCTGAGTTGGTTCATTCCAAGGACAAAAATCCCCCAAAGCAAACTCCGCCATGTTGTTGAGGCAGGACAGGTACCGCAAGGAATGCAAAACATGCCGACAGAAGCACGAAGGGAATTTGCCCTTGCTTATAAGCTTGTTCCGTATTTAGGGATGAACCAACCTTATAAGCGCACAACTGGAGAGGGCGGCATGTTTCGGAGAAAACAAACACTCAACCCCGTTGCGTCTTCTACGCGCCACTTACAGAGTCTCTCCTTGCAGACGACAGAGTCGGAGGGCTCGCTGGGTTCGCTCTCGCCGGCTTTATTGACGGCCTTGATCCGGAAGGCGTACTCCTGCTTCTCCATCAAGCCCCGCACCCGGTGTTCGGTCTGAGCGACGTCCTCGGCGATGCGGATCCACTCATCGCTGCCGCTTTTCTGTAACTCAATGACGTAAGCGTCGATCTTGGCGCCGCCATCGTGCTCGGGCCTGGTCCACGCCAGCAGGGCAGAGGTCTTGCCGATGTCACGGATCGCGGGTTTGCCAGGAGCCCATGGAGGATCTGGGGAAGACGAGAGTTGATTTGCAATTCGTTCGGGTCTCTGTTTGGACTCCGCGGAGCTTCGTGCACTCTAGCGCACCAATGGGGTCTTTGACGAGGACCGGATCCGTTTCCCTGCTTGGTTTTCCAGTTCCGGCCAGATTTTCAGCCAGGACCCGGAATCGGTACTTCTTCTTCGTCCGCAGTCCTTTCACTCTGTTGTCAAACATGCCACAAAGTTTAAAAACAAAAAAACAACTCTCTGCGTTGGGTGAAATGAAATGTTTAGCAACCTGAAGCCGGTGTCCTTGATGGGCAGCTTGTTGCATCTGACCCATTTATCGGTGTCGGGATCAAACCTCTCGACCCAGTAACCAGTGATGGGACTGCCGCCGTCCTCGTCCGGCTCAAGCCAGTTGAGGGTCACGGCATCCTTGGCTATGTCGGAGGGAGTGACTCTGGATGGAGGGGCCGGAGCATCTAAAAAGGCACGCGCGGGGATGTGGCCTTGGAATTAGCCAAGGAGTCCTTCAAATAGAACGAAAGCTCAAAACTTCAGTCTCACCAAATGAATACTTTGCAACAATCGGCGCGTGCTCGGCAGGTTCTCCCACGCCGTACTGGTTTTCGGCACTGATCCTGAAGATGTACTCCATCAGAGCGGTGAGCTTGCAGGCCTTGAAGGTGGTGTATTTAACGGTGGTCGACAGCTTGGTCCATTTCTCCTCATCGGTCTTGCGACTCTCCACGATGTAGTTGGTCACGGGTGAGCCACCGTCATCTCGTGGAGGGTTCCAGGCCAAGAGGCAAGACTCATTGGTGATTTCGGAGATGTCGAAGGCGGCGGGTGGGCCGGGTTTGTCTGAACAGGGCCGGCAACGCAAACGGAGGTCAAGCCAAATTTCGGGAACACTCCTTTCTGCTCATCCGCACGCATTTGTGAATTGACGGTGCGACGCGCGGCCGTTCGTCCGTGCGCGCCTCGCGGTTGGCCGTCGACCAGTTGAGGGCGAAGCCCGCCTACTGCCCAAAGACAGCCGGGATAGGCCCCGTCACGCCCGCGGCCCTCGTGACGACGAAGCGCTTCGGGTAACGGATGGATTACCGCTCGATATCCGACGTGAACGCGAAGCTCAGAGCCAATCCGGAGCGAGCCGCTCGGCACGGCCCGGCCGACGGCTATGACTCGTGTACCCGTTTACGTCGGGGTCGCGATACGCACCGAGAATGTTGACGTCGACGGTAGCAGTCGCACGTCCGCAGGTGTTGACGGCTTCGATGATGTAGGTGGCGCTGTCGCCTCTGGTCGTGCGGGCAACGGACAACTTGGAGTGTCCCGGCTGCGTGTCGATGGCAACGCGGTCATCGGCCCGCAGGACCAGGTCAGCCTTGGTCCACTTGACGCGGGGATCCGGCTTCCCTTTGACGTCGGCGGGGAGTTCGATTGTGCTGCCGGCCCTGGCGCTGATACCGGCCAGCAACTTCACATCCAGCTGAATCTCGGGAGGTTCTGGGGGGTATTTTCGGAAAGTCAGCGACAGCAATATTCAAGATGATCCGGAGATGAGCGGTTAGGCTCCGCTCAGGCCCACCTTTGGCATCCACAGCCTGGATCTCGTCAGTAGCCCTGCATGGTCGACCGGCTCCTAGTTTGTTGACGGCTCGGACTCTGTAGGCATACCACTGTCCCTCGGTCAGACCCGTCACCTGAAACCTAGTCGCACAAAGATCAAATGAGACGTGGCAAGTCGGAGCGCACACGCGCACACACACTTCAGAAATTAGCCCTGAAAGCATGCCGAGACCTACTTCAGCTCTTGAACAGGATCTGAGCAGGGCTCCCACTTGTCGGTCCCACGTTGACATTTGTCCACCACGTAACCTTTGATCTGGGAGCCACCGTCGTACTTTGGAGGCTCCCAAGACAGAAAGATGCCCTTGCTGCTCTTGTCGCGCCACTTCAGATTCTCGGGAGGATCGGGTGCAGCTGAAGCGAGGTTTTAGAAACTCATCAGGATGCTCGCTTGTTTTTTTTTTTTTTTGGTTTGTTTTTCAAGGCATATTCTCCGGCTGTGCTGAAGTCAATTTCTTTTGCGCCTTTTATGTGCACTTTCGAGGTGTGGCGATTCTCCCGACTCAGGTTTTGGCACGCGCGCGCGCACACACCGTGTGGAACGTGGCCAAAACACGTTACACGTGGTGACCCCTTATTATGAGTGGATCGCTTGGGATTGGTGCTTCTAATCCAAGTCCCATCAGCATGTGGAAACGCTCCTCATTTTCAGCCCAAAATATGCTCCGCGATCAATATTCGTCCGTCATTGTAATGCAGCGGGGGCACGGTCCAGCCGTTGAGCAGTCGGTGAGGGGATATTGGCGCCCGACCCCCAACCCGCCCGCGTACACACCCACACGCAGACACACCAGACTCTTTGTCCGCACGTGAGCACAACTCGCCCACGTCGACCGTTGACAGTCGGCGGCGCTGAAAAGACTCAAAACGCGCAATCTGACGTTTGACCTTCAAGTGGCGCGAGACCTTCACGGAGCCTCCAGAGCACGGAAGACAAAAGGTGAAGTCTTAAGGCTTCAGTCTCTGGGAAAACACTGGCGCCGGGAAGGCCCTCGATTCAAGTCGGCGCCAGCCGGAGCGCGGGCATTTCACCAGGGCGCCCGAGTGACGCGTTGAAGTCGCGCAGCCCCCAAAAAGTGCGCGGCAGTGCGCCTTTTCGTACGTCGGCGCATTGGGAGAATATGCCCGTCGGCGCATCGGGCTGGGTTCGTCACTCACTGGCCGGAGAAGACACGTTGACGGGGTCGGCGATGTAGGACGGCTCGCCCGGGCCGCATTTATTGCAGGCGGCGACGCCGAACAGGTACTCCTTGCCTTCAATGACGTCCGTCACGGTATGCTCAAGGTCGAGGACTCCCGTGGCCACCTGGCGCGCGACGCCGACGACGACAGAAAGAGGAAGGTCGCTGCGTTACGCGTTCGCGGCCGTCGCGTACTCCATTTTGCAAGCGGAGCCGAGCCGACTGCGCCCGTGAAATACGAGGTCCGCTCGCGTACCTTGGCCCAGGTCTTCCGAGACGCTTCTCTCTTCTCGATCTGATAGTGCGTGACGGGACTTCCTCCGTCGTGCTCGGGAGGCTCCCACATCAGGTGGACGTGGTGTCTCGTCACCTCGGCCACCTTGAAGTCTTTGGGAGCGCCGGGGCAGGCTGGGAAACGCAACGAGAATGAAAAGCCGACCGCAGTGCCGCGCGCGCATCGGCAGTCGGCCGTGACCGCTTGCCGGCGACAAAACAAAACAACAATTCAATACCGATAACGTTGACATCAATCTCTCCAGAGACAGAGGATGTATCGTTTTCCAGCTGCAGGGCGTAGAGCCCTTTGTCCGGACGGACGCTCGGCACGACTTTGAGCTCGGCGTACGAGGGCCTCGTCGCCAGAGAGACGCGCTCGGCTGCTGACGTCAGCTCCTTCTCTTCAAACGTCCATGTGGGGGTGGGGGTCGGGTATCCGGTGATGGGGACTCTGATGGCGAGAGGCCGGGGGACGACGACTTCCAAGCCGTCCCTGAAGGCGCTCAGGTCGAGCGTCGGACCCACTGCCGGGAGACGAGCGCAACGCATCCGCGTCAGGGAGCAGCCCCGATTCAAGTGGAACCTTTTTGGCCCCGGTTTTCGTACCGTGAGGATCGTCGGCAAGAAGCGGGCCCAGTTGCTCGGCCGGATCAGAGATACCGGCGGCATTCTCGGCACAAACTCTGTAGAGGTACTTGGAACCGTGTTTCAGTCCAGACACCTAAAAAAAAAGTTGTTTTTTTTAAATCTCACCTCAAAAAGTCACTTTGCTGAGATTCGAAATGGAAACGAGGCAAACGGGTTGACGAGACGAGCTTCCTACCCGGTAGGAGAGGTCGGCACACAGTCTGGCGTTGAAGCGGCGCCACTTGTCTGTGCCCTCCTCGCACTTCTCAACGATGTAGCCCGTGACCCTGCTGCCGCCGTCGCTGGCCGGGGGCTCCCAGGCGAGCGTGACGGCGTCCTTGGTTTGGTCATGGAAGTTGAGGTTGAGGGGCGGGCCGGGCCTCTCTGCAACGCATTCGGGTTCCGGGCAAGTGAGATTGCGCGACTCAGCGACGGATGAGCGTCGGTGGTCAAAGGTCACCCACCGATGGGATCCATGATCTTGACGGGCTTGGTGGCGGCGCTGGGCTTGCCGACGCCGGCCTTGTTCTGCGCTCGCACTCTGAAGATGTACTCTTTGTTCTCGACCACGTCATTGAGACCGGCCGAGCGCTCGTTGGCCCCGCAGAGCGCGCACGCCTCCCACTTTACGGAAGTCCTGTCGCGGAGCTCGATCACGTAGCCGGTGATCTCCGAGCCGCCGTCAAACGCGGGAGGCTCCCACGTGACGGCGGCGCCGAATCTGTTCACCGCGCCGACGGCCACGTTCTCCGGCGCGTCGGGAACATCTGACGGAAGACGACCGCTTCGGTGAGGCTCTCGTCTTGAAACGCGACGCCGGATGGCGTGCCCGCAAGCTCACCAAATTTATTCTTGGCCTGAACGGCGTCTTCGGTGACGACGCGGGGTCCGCTCCCGACGCGATTTCTGGCGCAGACTCTGAACAGGTACCAGCAGTCCTTTTGGAGGCCACTTACACAATACTCCGGCGCGTCGGCGCGGTCCGTCGCCACCGTCCAGGTCTTACGCTTCACATCGCGCCTCTCGACGTGATACGATGTGATTTTGCTCCCGCCGTCGCTGTCGGGCTCCTCCCAGGCCAAACTGACTTCGCCGTCAACGGTGTCGGTCACCCTCAGGTTCTTGACGGGTCCGGGCACATCTGCCGAGCGCATATCGAATGTCAAAACGCCGGCGCGGTAACTCCAAAGGAGCCGAGCCGTCGACGAATCCGTCGGGGCTCACCGATCACGTCCAGGTTAATGAGAGCCTCCGCCTCGCCGTGCTTGTTCTTGATCACCACCTTGTACCTGCCCCGGTCTTCTTTGCTGGGACTCTGAAGGCGGTACGCCGTCTTGTCCGCCGAGTTGTCGACGTTCTGGACAGGTAGACCGACGCCGTCGAACAACCACTCGACGTCCGCCCGAGGGTAGGCGTCGTAGGGCACGGTAATGACGAAGGGCTTGCCGGCATCCGTGACCAGGTTCTGGTCTGTGGTTTTGATCGTTGGAGGAGCTGCCAAACACAGACCAAGTTTCATCGTTTTTTTTTTCCCCTCTTTACGTTGCCGCATGGCCGATCGCAGAGTCGATGGCAGCGGTGTCGTGCGACTCACCCGCCAGCTCCAACTTAGCTCGAGCATCTTTGTCTTTGGCGACGATCCTGTAGTCGCCCTGGTCTCGAGGTCGGACCTCGCACACCTGCAGTCTGTGAACTTTCCCCTCGCCGATCATCTGGTACTTGTCCCCCTGGACGATGATCATGTTGTTTCTCATCCATTTCACCTCCACTCTGTCCTTGTTGAGCTCCGCCTCAAACACCACGTCTGAGCCGGGCGCTTCCAAAGCGTCCTGGGGCGGTCTGATGATCTCCACGGGGATTTCTGTGGGAGCAAACACGTCACTCGAGAAGGATTTCACAAGGAAGCTGCAATTTTGGGGGGGCGGGGGAACGAATGCAACGAAACGTACCTTCGACAAATAGTCTCGCTCTGGTCCTCTTCTCTTCCACGCCACAGGCGTATTCACATTCGTCGTCCGGTCTGCATCCCTTGACGACCAGTCTGCACGTCTTACCTTCTCTCTCTACGATATACCTGGAGGGACACGCGGGCGCCGATAAGCGCGCTCGAACGAGACCTTTTGTCAGAAAGCACCGAGTCATTTGACGCGGGGTACCTCGGCCCTTCTCGGATCTCCCGGCCGTTCCTGTACCACTTGACGGCGGCCTTCTCTTTGGACAACTTGCAGTTGAATTGCGCATCCTCGAACTCGGTGACGGTCCGGTCTTTGAGTTGCGCCGTGAAGTCCGTCGGCGCCTCGCTGACGATCAGTTCGGCGGCGCACTTGTCTTCTCCGACCTCGGCGCGATACTCGCCCTCGTCCTCCGGGACGCAGTCCTTGATGGTCAGCCTGTGGTTGAGACCTTCGCTTCGGTAGACGACGCGCTTGCTGAGCTCCACCTCCCGGCCGTCCTTCAGCCACCTCACGGTCGACTTTGGTCGGTTCACCTTGCACACAAAACTGATCGTCTTCTTTTCCTGCGTTTCGACGTCCTCGATGGGAGCCAAGAACTTGAGCTCCTCCTCTGCAGATGGAAGGGATTTTCGAGTTTACATTTCACGACTACCGATCTCTGCTCGGCGCCGGCGTTTGTCGCGCGCGTGCGGGTTTGATCTTTTACCAGTAACTTTAGCGCGGGCCGAGCACGTGGCGTGCTCTCCTCTGTGATTGGTCAGGCCGACGGTGTAGTCGGCCTCGTCGGCCTTGCGGGCGTCCGAGATCCGCAGGGAGAAGACGGCGTCTCTCTGAGCCACCGTGTACTTGCTGCTCTCAAACAGGGTCTCCTGGTTCTTCAGCCACTTGGCCTTCACTCCCTCCATGTTCATCTCGCAGTTGAAGACGATCTCGCTTCCCTCTCTGACTTCCGTGTCTCTGATGGGTGTGACGATCCTCAGTTTTTCTGCGATTGGGTACAGACCGTGAGTCGAGGAGTCGGCCGGGGACGATGCGACGCGGGAGGGAGGGAACCGAGCGAGTCTCACCGATCACGAGCAGCTCCGCGGAGGCTCGAAGGCTGCCGATGAGGACCACGTAACCTCCCTCATCCTTCAGCTGGCAGTTTTTCACGACGAGAGCTCGTCTCTTTCCTTCGCTGACAATCTCGTATTTGTCCCCGCTTTCCACCTCCTCCTCCCCTCTGAACCATTTCACCTCATAGGTTTCTTTGGAAACCGAGCAGACAAACTGAGCCCTCTCCCCTTCCACGACTTCCTGGTCCTGCGGTTTGGCGATGAACTCGGCTTCGAGTTCTGGAAATAAGGCGGAAGAACAAGTTCACCGACGCGGCTCTTTCAGCCGCCTCGGAGCTCGTCCCCGGCGCGGCGCGCGTCCGTACCGTTCAGTTTCAGGACGGCGGCCGTCCTGACGCCGGGGCTCAGTCGGCAGTTGTATTCGCCGGCATCCTCCATCCTCAAGTCTTGGATGATCAGGATCCTTTTGCGTCCGTCCGCGATCTGCTCGTAGCGGCCGCCCTCCGGCAACTCCCTGTCTCCTTGGTACCAGGTCACCTCCGCCCCAGGCTTGGACACCTCGCAGATCAACTTCACGCTGTCCGTCTCCGTGCCTTCCACATTGGACAGGTTCTTGGTGAACTTGGCGGCCTCCTCTGTTAAAACACAAAACAAGACATACAATTGGGGATGAGGACGCCGTCGGTCTTTGAGAATGTCACGAGAGGCCATGCGTGGCGGCGCCCAGAGTTAGCGGCGTCGGGCGTGCCCCGACCTCAAATTGGGGCCGCGAGTTAACCACCTGAAAGCTTCCAGACTCTTGTTCCTCAAGAAACCTCGACTTTGAGCAAGTGACTGGCAAATATCGGTTTTGGTGGTACGTTTTGAAACAAAAATGTCATGTTCATGTTCTTTTCATTTTCCTTCCAAGTAACATTCCACGCGGGGCCGTGGCTTATTTGACCGGCGATCGACTCGCGGACACCGTTGAGATGACTCGCGTTTGTGTACGACACGTATGCGCTCGCGTTGACAAGATTTACAGCAGGGAAAGAGACTTTGCGGAGGAGACCGCGTAAATTCTGATCCTGGACCCCGAGGAGTCAAAGTGACAAACAGCAACTCGGGACGTCCGAGGACCCCGGGAAATTCAGGCGACCAACGGTCCGACAACAAAGTCGCTTTTTTTTTCCTCGCCACGCAGCAGACGGCGGACGGCGACCCTCTTCAAGGGTCGGGAAGCCTCACCGATGACAGTCAGCATGCCGGAGCTCTTTGACGTGCCGGCGTCGCACTCGTATTCCGCCTCGTCATCCATGGCGGACTTGTGGACGATCAGGATCCTCTGAAGCCCGTCGGCCAAGATCTCGTACTTCTTGCCTTTTCTGATCTCGCAGCCGTCCTTGAACCAGCAAACCTGAGGGATCGGCGCAGGGCGAATGTCGCTCAGCCTGCGCCAAAGCCGCGATCGCTACGGCAGACTTTGCGCGAAGATACAAACCTTGGCCGACTCTCGGGAAACTTTGCATTCAAACCTGGCGGATTCTTTTTCGAGGACCTCAACATCTCGCAGAGGCTGGATGAACTCCACGTAAGGTGCTGATGGCAAATAAAGCAAGAAAGAAATAAACAAATGAATGAATGAATTTACCAACATGACACAAATGACAGCCCAAGCTTTTGCTCCCGAACCGCCGTCCTTGGAATGGGAATTGGAATTGTGGATTGACCGCATGACCATGTTCACTGGTTTACTCATGACGTGTTCTTGATTCCGATTGTGTTTTTCACACCTCGACAATTTCTACAAGCGAGCGCGGTAACTGCCCCCGTGTCTCGCAGGGCCAGAAGGCCGAGCGGTTGTTCCGGCCACATAATTAGGCTCAGCGGTGTGGTCTCGCCTCAACTGCACACGAGGCGGACAAGGTGAATGTCTGGATGAATGGTGTCCTGAAACACCGGACCGCGGCGAGCCCGCCGACAAGGAGTCGCCGCGCGGCAGCCGGTTCTAAGCGGAATGTGACATCACGGAGCGCACGCGACGCATTCTCGAAATTGCACAAGGGCTCTTACATATGACGTCAAGGAAGCAGGAAGTCTTGGAGTCCTTGGCGTCGCACGTGTACGTCTTGATGTCTTCCAGGTTGCAGTCGTGGATGGTCAAGGCCCTCTTTCGACCATCGACGACGGTGTCGTATTTCTTGCTCTTGCGGATCTCCTGCCCCTCCTTGAACCACTGAACGAGCGCGTTCTCTCTGGACACCTCGCACTCCAGCGTGGCGGCGGCCTCCTCCTCCACCGTCTGGTCCTCCAGCGGCTTGGTGAACGCCACCGGAGGCTCTGCGGGCGGGCGGGCGGGCGC